TGGGCGCCGCCATCTTTGTGTGGGTAGATGAAGTTCCTGTGGGACACGTTATCTGCCCACACTAGATAGCGTTGTAAAATTCTCGCACATGTCCAGTTAAACACTTGGGCATGCGAACGGGAATTTCATCCATTCATTCGTCAGAAAGACGAATAAATTAATAGAAATTTCAAACGAATGAACGAAGACCTTAAATTGAAAGCAACCTCACTGTTATGAGTCAAATTACACAGCATGGGAAAATTACAAAGATCTTTCCCACGCTGTGTAAAATGACACAGAGCACTCTGATTGGTTGGATTTCAAGCCAACCAATCAGAGTGCTGTGACAGGTAAAATGTAGACACCTACTTGTCAGAGCACTCTTATTGGTTGAATTAAACCAACCAATCAGAGCGCTCTGAGCCTAATTGCAGGGTGTGGGAAGGCTTTAAAAGCCTTTCTCCGCCTTGTGGAGCTCAGTTAGTGCCGTGCCCTCCATGGGTGAAGATTAATTATTTTTTTTACTGTCAAGATTTTTTTTTTCATCGTTTTATTTTTGTTCGCTCTGTTTTTTTATTTTATTTTCAAAATTTGACGGTTATTATGGATTTTTAATTGGCCTTTTTGGGGCTGAAAAAATAAGGTTTTTAGAAAAAAAAAGACATCAAATGGTAAGTTTGTTTTATTTACAGGTATTCAGTTTTATTGTACCCCCTCACTATTATTAGGGTGAGGGTGGGAGGTAGGAATTTATAAAATTTTTAGGGGTGGTGGGTGACTAGGGGCTTGGGGACCCCTAGACACCTGGAGGGGTTACATTTAGCACTCACCCGCCACTCATGGGTGGGGGCTGGGAGGGAAGGACAATAGGCCCCCCCCTTATTGTAATTTAGGGCCCCACCCACCACTCATGGGGGCCGGGGGGGGCGTGAGGACAATAGTGTGACGGACCACCTGGCACCCGACCGGGTACCTCCGTCAATTGCTGCTTCCTAGTACTTGCGAGCCACATAAGCAGCATAAAGCCCACAAACCGCCGCAGCTTGGTTGGGGTTCTCGCCGTCCTCCACCCACCCTGGACCCAAGACCAGGATCCAGCTTCCAGTGGGTGAACCTCTCTTACTCCAGAGAGCATAGCAGGAACAGCTCTTATAAGAGCTAGTGATTATACCCGGGGGAGTATTGTGATATAGCAATCCCCAGGGTGAATATAGTTCTCCAATCCCCCAAACATGAGCCTAGACTTCATGAAGGGTAAAACGAATCTCAGTTTAATGGTAGCCACAACTGGCCTTTCATGACAGTTCCCATGCAAAGGGCTCTCCCCCCCCTGGACCTGACAGTAAACCACAGTAGAAAAAATACACAATAACATTGGCTCTCAGGTCCAGGACACTCCCATACACAATCAGATGATCCCTCCTCTGTGCCTGGGAGATAGTTGGATCAGGAACTGTACTCTAATCTAATCCAATTATCTCCATGTACAGAAAAAACATAAATTTTTACAAACCCCCCAAAATACCTTCCCTTGCTAGCCCTGATCTGGGTGACCAACATATCCAAAAATATCCAGATCAGTTCAGGGGTTCAGGAATTTCCTGGAAGTCTTATTTTTGACCGACCGTGCACATGGTCCTATGCCCAAAACAGTTCCAGGGAATCAAGTCTCTCTGTCTGGAGTACAAAAGTACATAACTCACATGAAATTGCACAGAGCCTTTTCAAGTGCATTGGGCAAGGTATATTGCAGGGCCCATAGTCCTGAGGTAAGAAGCTGGCCAGCAGGCCCCTCCAAGAACACGTGACGAGGTTCAGTTTGTCACAAATAGGCACCCCCCCATTTTCATTCAGGGCCCCACCTGCAGCTCATGGGTGGGGCCAGAGTGAGGTCAATAGGTCTCCCGCTGCTCATGGGTGGGGGCCGGGAGGACACTAGGTCCCCCCTTCAGATTAATAGCCCCCAATCGCACGCCATGGGTGGGGGCTCGGGAGGCCGGACACTAGGGGTTTTGTTTAGTTTTTTTTAAAACAATGAGCAGCCACAGGCTCACTGTTTACTAGACATAACCCTACTTGCGATATAGCGAGTAGGGGCAGAATTTACGAATACTAAGTAATCTTTACTTAGTATTAGTAAATTTGGCTGAAAGACCAATTAAGGTCTTTCAGCCATTTGGTTGATAGCTCCCTAATACCGTGGGAATTAGGGAGTTATCTACTAAGTGGCTGCAAGATGCAACCTCGGCACGAATCGGATCGGAATTTCATTCATTTGAATGAAATTCCGATCCGAACAAAGTCCCGAATTGCGTCCTGACACAGAAACTGTTCTCATTCTGTTCGGACGAAATTCAGTCGTTTCGTTGGCGTTGTGTCTAAATGACAGGACGTTCTGGAATACTGACAGGAAGCATTGTGAGATCAAGGAGGTGAGAACTGTGGGGAAATTTCTCTGACCACAGGAAATGAAGCACACTTTTCTCCTCCGCTGGTCAGAGATGGTCAGGCGTAGGAAACCTCCATAAGACAAATAGTCTCTACTTTGTCTTATGTTTTAAAGAAAACTAGAGCAGACAGGAAGAAAAGAAGAACAGATCCTGAGAGAGGAAGAGAAGAGGAATTGATTAAAGAAAAGTAAATTCGACATGACAGTGCCGCTTTAACATATAAGCCACACAAGAGGATAAGAGAAGATATAGGAAAAGATCTCAGTGAGTTTCACCCATAGTAAACATCAGTTTAAGGGCCGTGCCAGGACAGAAATGTAATCTAATCACTGCTTATGAATTTTGTCAGATCGATGTGGTTTTGATATCTTACTTTAAAAAAAAGAAATCGCTTATGAAACATTTAATCTTCAATAAACTAAAACACCAAATGGGAATCCATTCTGGGTCTTTTACCATTAATTAGACAATGGTGCTTTCTATGTAGACAAAACACAGAGACAACAATGTCCAACCCATACAGACAAAAGGGCAAAAACAAGATGGAAAGGATGCTATGAAGTACATTAATACTGATACAAGTGTCAATTAATGACTAGAGGTCATGATCAGATCAGTTATTGCTTATTATTACTGATATTTATGTAGCGCCAGCATATTCCGTAGCGCTTTACAATATTATCAAAGGGGGAGATTTAACAATAAATGAGAATTACAAAAACTTACAGGAACGATAGGTTGAAGAGGGCCCGGCTCAAACGAGCTCACAGTCTATAGTTTATTGTCTCATTGCCGTCAGTATTGATCAGGGTGGTTGCTGGGAAACGTAAACATAACATAATATTGACAGGGTTATTCACTAAGGTGGGGATTGGCGGCAATTGCTAATTTCAGAAGAAAATGGTAAAATTACCAACATTATTCAACTGAACAATTTTGACCTAAAGTTTGGAATTCTCGAGTCAATTCCCAGTTGAGCGAATAATTCTGCTATCATTTAGGTTAACTGGGGAGGGTTATTCTAAATCCTTGGTCATTATTATTACACACTAGCTATTATCCAGGAATTTCTTAATCCTACATTATCCACTAAAACAGGAACTGAGAAGCAGACAGGATCCAGCACATTTTAGGCCCAAAAAGGCTTTTTTTGATTAATCTATTTTAACTTAAACCTATTTGCAATTGTCGGTCAATTTCTGTTTTTGTTGAATAACCGTCTACCTTTTTATTGATAGACAGTGGAGACCGAACGCGTGTGAATCACTTGTATTCATTCATAACGCTTACACTGTGATGAGATCTTCATCTACCAGTACAACCTACAGGATACGGGCTGTACAACTGTGTCTGAAGCTCAACAACAAGCAGAACAAAAGTCATGAGCTGTAGTGGTTGTAGTGCCAGGAACCCTCTAACACACTAAACCAGTCAAATCGTTTTCACACAATTTGACACTTACCTGCATTCCTCCGGGTGCTAGTGATTTTGCTCAAGCGGGCATTTTCAGTCAATATATTATGTCCAAATGGGGACAATACTGAGAAGAATAAATGGCAACATTCCACTTCACCAATATCACTCAAATCCAAAAGGACTTGATAAATCTTAGAAAGGGTCACGCATACTTCTCTTGGAAATGACTGTGGATGCATACCTGTAAATATATAGTCCAAACCGAGTAGGACATTACTGATTTTGGGCCTCGGTCCCGTGGGCCAGGCAGTTTCCTGGGGATACCAGAAAAAAAAAAGATGTTTAAGTGTGCTTACAGATGTATAAAGGAACAATTCAGGGGCATCTTAGCCTGTATATTAGCACTTCAGTATTACCAGGCAGCCTGCCATGTTAGTGAGCATGTACGACACACCCCTTTTATAGCCGGGCATTTCACCAGTCAAGAGAACTGAGTCACTGACACTCCCCCCACAAATTTGGCAAAACATGTATAGCTTGGAGGAAAGACGAGACAGGGGGGATATGATAGAAACATTTAAATACATAAAGGGAATCAACACAGTAAAGAAGGAAACTATATTTAATAGAAGAAAAACTACCACAACAAGAGGACATAGTCTTAAATTAGAGGGACAAAGGTTTAAAAATAATATCAGGAAGTATTACTTTACTGAGAGGGTAGTGGATGCATGGAATAGCCTTCCAGCTGAAGTGGTAGAGGTTAACACAGTAAAAGAGTTTAAGCATGCGTGGGTTAGGCATAAGGCTATCCTAACTATAAGATAAGGCTAGGGACTAATGAAAGTATTTAGAAAATTGGGCAGACTAGATGGGCCAAATGGTTCTTATCTGCGTCACATTCTATGTTTCTATGTGAATGTTGAACCAAGCTCAACAATACAATAAATGCTGAAAAAAAAAAAAGTTAATCTGACTATAACAATAACAATAAAAAAAATAATGTTTTTATAGTTTTAGGACTTCAGGACAATCACATCTTCAGCCCAAAGATAATACAGAAAGTCGTAACATTTTAAAGGTTTCACAAACTTTCTCTTACCACCGAAATTTAAAACAAAGAGGGCCCACAGATATCTAGAACTACAAATCCTATAATGCTCTGCCGGCAAAGGATTTGATTTTCACAATGTGTGCAATATGTGGACCCCATAGACTGACTCCCCGTCACTTGCGCACAGAGGGAGGCGTAGGGTCTAAGTTGCCGCCTTTCCCACTATAAGGAGATACTGTATTCAGTTTGTTAATTGTGAAGCAGGTCAATGGTCCCACTCAGTGCTCGCAGGGCTCTATTCCCAGCTGGCAGGATTCATACACAAGGCCTGACCAAATCCTCCAACATTTTTTTTCTTTCTGGGAGCAATTCAGCAGAAATATCTTGGCAGTGACTCATGAATATATTGTGGGGTGGGGCTGTGAAATCCATGGAATTTGATCCCAAAACACACTCCTCACCTCCACACAAAAATCCTTGTTTAATGGTGCAGAGAGAGGTGGGGAGGTATGGGAACCTGGCAGTAGGAATGCAAGATTGATTAACCCTTTATGACATAGAAGTTCCAGAACACATTTTGCAGCCAAACAGATCTTACAGGGATAGAAATAATCCCTAACAAACAATCATTTGTACCACGCAGCTTGGAGACTGCACATAGGATTTTTACCAACCCACGTGTACAGGATTAAGGATAACCGTCATTATGACAGTTCAGATAGGACACTGGTCCTGGTCCTGAAGGGGTTAAAAGCTGCCCATACAAAAGTATACAGTTTGATATTTCAGCACGTTATAAGTCACTGTACGCCCAAACTACACCAGATATCTCAATGTGATTCATGGACTGTAAGCTCCTCGGCCAACAAGGAAAACATTTAATATACAGATCTTTGGCCTTTGTAGTAAATGTGAAACCCTGTACTTGCATAACCTTTGCTTCTAGGATAATCAGGTTATTTTGTATTTCACTTGACAAAAAGCAACAACAGTATAGGCATAACAACTTCATGTAAATAATGTTATGATGCCTTCTGGTGCTAGCAGTCCCCCATGAGAAATCTTACCATCAGGTGTTAAACCATTCTTGATTTAACCTTTTTGGTTTAACTCCAAAGCTGCCTCCTGTGCCAGTCTCAGCTTACCCCCTGGACAGGCTGGGGCGTCGCTGAATCAATGTACCTTTTCCAAGCCAGGTTAGTAAATAGGGGGTCACTAATTGGCAGAGAGCGTCGGCTCAACACTCTCAGCCAATCAGCCGCACCCCTGCCCGGCGGCACTCCACGCTTCCGGTAAGTGAAATTTCAGAAGCCGGATGCCTCCTAGGAAAGAGCTGAGATTAAGTTGTTTTGGTGCCTGGAGTGTTCCTTTAAACATGGGGAGGTGTTTAAACACAGTAGCCAGCCTTACGTGTACTCCTTACTCTCCATGAAACAGCAGGAAGCGCCCACAGGAGGCAATCTTTACCCTGCGGTATAAACATTGCAGTTGCTCTAAAACTGGAATGTTTTAGATTGCAGGGTTAAGAGGACAGGGACACTGAACACAAACATCTTCAATCAGATATTCACATTGTCCTCTTTGTAACGTCAAATAGTCTATTGCAGGGATAGGCAACCTTCGGCACTCCAGATGTTGTTGACTACATCCCCCATAATGCTCTTACACCCATAATGCTGGCAAAGCATCATCGGAGGTGTAGCCCAAAACATCTGTACTGCCGATGGTTGCCTAATGCCTGGGTCAATTGTACCCGTCACAATACCCCTTTCATTTCCACTAGCCCAGACATGTTTTACCATGTTTGTTTCTACTATCCACTACTGACATTTTTTGTTCTTTGTTTTTTTGCCACAAAGTTTATTCACTAAAATAACTAGGTAACCTTCAACACTCCATATGTTATGGACTACATTTACCATAATGCTCGTATAGTACTACATTGTGGACGTTTTCCAGCTAGGTGGTTTGGGTCTAATCTGGTCTGATTGGTAAAGAAACCCTAATAACAGATTATACTATTTTACATTTGCATATGCTCTAATTTGAATGTGTAAGTAAATAGATTTTTTTTATATATATATATATATATATATATATATATAAATAAAAGTTGTCAAAAGTGCAACATTTCTAATTAAGAAAAAAACAATAAATAATGAAATAAATCAAAGAATCACGCGATGTGAAATACTATTAAGCTGATCTATCGCAACGATAGAATCCTTATGAAAAACGACCTCAATGTCTTACTAAGAAGAAAAGCTGCCTTTTCTGGCTGCCTTGCCTTTTTCTCAATTGTTGCCACAAATGATGCTTTAGTGCAAACGTGACACTGCTCATGGCATGCCAGGTGAAAGAAACAAGATGGCAGTACACATGGAGAAAAACTGAAGATGAGCATAGATCGCTTTGCCCTTTTTCATACCGAGTTGCATAATCTATTGGAAATGTTACCTGGGTAAGACTTTTCAATAAAATGCAGAGTTCTGGCAAAATGACAGGCTTTACAGGTTTTTTTTATATATTTTTTTTAATAAAATCACTCACAAAAAAGATTACATATATCATGCTAAGCATATATTTTCATATTCGAAGTTCCTATCTATAATTTTGTTTTAGCCACTAGCCCTATTGATTGGGTTGGAACCATAACTGCCTAAATTTATTCCTGAGTACGGTCAGCTTGCTTTTAAAAAAAAAAAAAAAAAATGCATTTCTTCTTCGATTTAAAAATGATTCACTATCAAAAAAAAGGAAGCATGATTGAAAAAATAACAGGAAGTACTGAAAATGTGTGAAATTTGTCAGTTCAAAAGAAACATTATATATATATGTACAAGTTTACATAAATATACACACATTTAAAGCCCAGTGTATTGAAGGGAGGCCCTGCAATATAGCACTGGATGAAGGTTTTTGGAGCCGAAACGCGTCTGCTATTTTATACTTTGCACTTACATTTCTTGGGTTACTTTCGGTGGCAAGTGCGACTTTACTAGTAGGTTTCACAACCACCTGAGTTATCGTACCCAACTATAAATACGTAGGAGGGGAAATATTGGGTAGAGTATTTACTCATGGGACAGCGATTTTTTTAAATTGTATTTTTAACCCGTTATGGACCAAACTTCTGAAATAAAAGGGAATCATGACATGTCACACATGTCATGTGTCCTTAAGGGGTAAATAAGTATCAAAGTGATCCCTCCTTTCCCCAAAGTCAGAGGATTCCAAATGGAATTTTTAAATAAAACTTTTAAAGTCCTGTTCTTGTTAGTCTTAACACAAAGGGCCTACATTATTAAGAATATATGGACTACATTATGCTGCTCACCGTTACCTTAGAGTAAGAAGTTCATAAAGTGAGTTGACAGGTTTCACCAACAGTACAGTTTGTGCGAATGAGCTTGAGTACAGGTGTATCAGAGTTCAAACAGTCACTGTGTAATGGAATGTACGGCCCTGGGGTCTGGATATGTCTACTTGTTACAGAGTATCGGAGCAAGTGAAACGTTATAATTGTGGACTAGGATAATTGTTCTGTGTTTATGATGAACTATAAAGATAAACAGCAGTCAGTATTACAGTAAGGACGTACAGGTACATGCGGAGCAGCACTGAAGGAAGAAAACAGGCTGGTACGAACAGTTCAGTCTCAAAAATGATGGTGAAGGCAGAAGAGAAACTAACACTTCTGATCTAAATATGTGTACTTTTATGTTTATGCCTATAAAGAGGGACTTTTCTCAAGTCATCACCAAGGCCCAAGCTAACGTACTGGCAAGTATGAAGACACTTCAAGGGTTCCCAAAAATAACAGAGCCTAGGCAGCTTTGGGGGAAGACCTTGATCAACAAGACAGACTGCTTTTATGCACAGCAAAGAAATGAGTTGTCCCATTTTGAAATTCATATTTTCCTATGTAATCCAAATAACAAAAGCCTTCTGGCCACCTGTGACATAGGAAGTTGATTAGCTAAGGAGGAATGGTTACAGCAAATTAAAATGGCTTGATCACATTTGGGCTCACTGACATCTGGTGTCTTGCTATGCATAGCATAAGTCCACATAACCCCACCACTATTTAAACAACATATATGACACAACTGGGAAGAGAGTGTGTGATAACTGGAGTAAAACCATTATTGCTATAAATAGGAATTTTATTGAAAGATGAAAGAAGATACCAAACATTGCAAGGAGTAGGCTTAAAACAAATGGTGAAGAGGGTAACATTATCGCCAATATAATGAGTATGCTTTAAACAAGAATAGTCAGCCACAACTTGGCACACTTGAACACTGGCATAAAGTCATTTTGCCAATTTCCAACCCCATTTTCTATAGAGATGTAAGCAGAAAAGAAAAGAGATGAGAGGTATTTATAAGGGTGAGATAAAGAATAAGGGGTGGGGAAAAAAGTATAAGGGGTAGATGGCAAGAAGGCACCAAAACAACTTTAACTTAATGAAGTGGTTTTGGTTTATAGATCATGCCCCTGCAGTCTCACTACACAATTATTTGCCATTTAGGAGTAAAATCACCTTGGAGGTCACATCCATTGGAGCTGTGACTAAGGCTACTTAAACAGAGCCTTAATACACATTTGGTGTAAAGTGGCATCTAATGTTTTAAATTTTCTTTATAGCACAGTCTGTTTAATTTAGAACTTTTTGTCTCTTGCTCTGTTAATAGCTTTCTAGATCCAACCGGAACCTCTTGTGTGTGAATAAAGTTCAAATAACAAAGAAGGAAATCTAATTGAAAATTCTATTTTTTTTTTTGCAGGCTGTGTGAGTCACAGCCAGGGGAGGAGTGGCTAGGGCTGCATAAACAGAAACAAAAGTGATTTAACGCCTAAACAGCTGATAATTGAGCAGTGAGACTGCAGAGGCATGATCTATACACCAAAACTACTTCATTAAGCTGAAGTTGTTTCAATGCATATAGTATCCCTTTAATGGATCACACAACCACCTAGTAAAATAGAAAGGCCTAGATAAAGCTGTATCTCTAATTTACCCAATTTCTCTTCCTCTTAACCCCCCACTTCTTCATCTCCTCTCCCATGTCAATCCCTCCACCCTAAATTGTCTCATCTGTCAGTGAAAGCCCTTACCTTTGCTAAGTCACAGTTTACAGCTGTACAAGACACCGTGCTGTATGTGTTGAAAGGGCATGAATATGATCCAATGCCAATATCCGCACTTACCATCCAAACGCAAGTGCCAGAACCTCAGCAAAGAATTTGAACAGAAGGAAGAACTTGCTGCCAAGACTAACATAGCATACCGCTCGGCAGAAGAGCCGAACAGCTGGTGGCCAGACCATCCCAGACCAACTCAAGCAGCCCACCAGGAACCTGATTAGTTACCACATGAACTTGTGTGCTCCACACTGAAGAACCCAGTGGACGTCTGCTAAAAAAAATAAAATATTGAATATGAATACACTTTATACCCATATCCTCAGGAACCTGGTCAACGTATGACTGACCAGATATTTCGGTGTCATGCTTACCAGTCAGACTCCAATATATGATAATATGTGCCCTGTACATGTCAGATATTGAGGAGGGGCTGAAACTAGAAATGATAATAAAAATATCGAGCTAGAACAGTTACCCTCCGACTTTATACAAACTGCTGTCAACAAAATAGAAATCTCTGTAGCTTACTTACACTACTATACAACTATACAATCTGCCTCACTTTACAGGCTAACTCAAACGTCTGGTCCAATGTTAGACAAAAACAAAGAACCCATCTTAGTCCTTGAAGAGTAGAAAGCGCGAATCTCCCAGAATCCTCGGTGAAAATAAGAAGTCTTCGTTTGAAGATACAATATAAGGTGCACCTATTCTGACACAATGCATTGTTGCTAGCAGTTACACAGCAAAGTATTCGTATGATATTTGCTTTCTGTTTCTTTGCCAAGGAATTGTACTTTAGATTTCTCTAAACATATAGGTTGAGAAGCTGGTTAATAATTGGCTACAGGCATTTCACCCATTCTGTGTATCTGTAATGACCCATTGGAAACCTTCGGGAGTGCACACCCTCCAACACGTTCCTTATCTCGCTCTGCAGTACCAAGTGTTTTAAAATTCTTCCAAAGTTTTGCTGTACTCCTTTGAAGTCTTTTGCTTCTGTGCCGAGGCGAGAGTCTTCCACTCGTCCAGTGTTTTTTTCCACCTATCAATCCTATCCATGCGTCTCTTCCTCCCCTTATTTTTCTTCTTCTTCCGTAGTTGGCTTGTTGCCATACTTACAGAAGGCTGGGGTATCAAAGGGGCTGCTTCTCGTTTAGTGAATGGTTTTCTTACAATCTCCTATAAATAAAAATAAAGGCCAAGTATTAAACAGTGCATTCTCTAGGTCCAAACACAGATATGAATTGTGACTTCCATCACTAATTCAGGTATTTGTACACTAAATAGCTTATAAGTATATCCCAAACAATATACAATCGATAAATAATATAGAAAGCAATAGTACTTAGCTTATAAAGATGTATGACAGCCTCCCTAGGTCGCTATATCATATATAGTATAAACCAAAACAGAGAAGATTCGGGATATGGCTGTGTAAATCTACAGAGAAAGCATAAAACAAAACATAGTGTGATATTGTTATAAAACACAATATTTCATGCGCAGTAATCTTGTGCACTCACAGGATGTAGGCAGTAAAAGCGCTCTTAAGGTGCCTTCCCCAATGGAATGGGGGGCTAGCTGGTATTCCTTATCACCTCTGGATCCTTGTATCACCAAAAGACATCCACAGGTCAGGGTTCAGTAATAAAAAATTTATTTAGATAAAAAGTGTAGTCACCAATTCAGCATAGGATACAAATAACAGAAGGTTGTCCTACGCGTTTCGTTCTATAAGAACTTCCTCAGGGACCACAATTAAAAACAATAATAACAATGTATCAATGTACAATACATAAACATATCCTATACACATCCCCCCTCCCTGTGTCCTTAAATAGGGCTAATCCCTAGAGTCTATTGGTGGATCCAGTAGGCGTGTAAATCCTCCTTGGTTCTAATTGGAGGACTGATCTTCCTGTGGCAGCTGTTTGTCATCCATTCATTTTCCATAATTTGTAATTTGCGCCTTTTTCGGCAAATACCGGAAGTGGTCATAATTTGCCGAAACCGGAAGTGACATCGCGGGAACGTCCGCGTTCCACATGCGTTCCACCAGTGACGTCTCCATGGCAACCGGGCGCGATCAAGTCATTCAAAAGGTCAAATGGAACACAGGACAAATAAAAAGCCCCATTCTGCTTGAGAAAAAAAACTGTTAACCATTTTTAACATATTTAGCCGTTATTTATGTATATATATCTGTTGAGTGTCACCCTCCTCATTAATCCCATCACACAACATAATGTTAATCCTCATATTGTACCAAGTAATCATAATACCTCAGTATATTATAAGCCTAAGGCTTCGTATTACAAAGTGATCATATTTCCTATGTCTATTATTTAAAAGGTTTTTATTTTTTTTTTTTTTTTTATAACTTTATACATTGTTAATCAAAGTGAACACCGTAATCAATTCATCACTGTATCAGTTTAAACTTCAATTTGTCGTGTTATATATTTGTACTCCCCATAAAAATCTTTGGGATAAACCTATTATACACATTGAAATAATCCATTGCTATGGTTACACAAAAAAGGGGTTAGTAGATTGTGGCTACAAAATAACTACTTCCCATATAAACTTTATTTAGTGAATCTACCACATTCAATTTATACCAGCTCTAAAAAACCTTAGAGCAAATCCATTATTTATATTAGAATAATCGGTTATTGTGTTTTTATTATAGTCATTTGTGATTTTTGGTCATATAGGACAATAGATCACAAATTGTAAAAAAAGAGATAAAATAAAATATAAGAGATATAAAATAACTACCTGGTATTTGATATATATATAAATCCTCTCTCTAAGTAGGGATTAGCTTTCAACTGTAGAAACAACCCAAATTAAAGGCAAACACACATATCCTAACTCTTTGTTCTGAAGATTTTAGGCCATATTAATCTAGAAAACAAATTAAATCAATATCGATATTGAGACCCTTAGGTGAGAGGGTTTGTAATTTATGTATCCAGAACGTCTCCCTCTGGGCTAGTCTTTGAACTCTATTACCCCACGCCAGAAGGGGTGGACTCGTTCAATTCCCCAACATCTAAAATCCTTAAATGAAAAAAGGGGACATGATATACAATGGGTTGGGACTGAGTGTGTCGTCAGTCTCTTTCTGATATTATTAAGATGTTCTAATAGGCGAACCTTCAAAATCCTCTTAGTCCGTCCCACGTATTGCATGCCACACGGACATTGTAGCAGATATACCACAAAGTCCGTGTGGCAATTTATACTATCTCTAAGTGTAAAGCTCTCCCCCGTGGTGGAGCTAAAAAATGAATGTGTATTTTTTATAGACACCGTGGTACAAGCTTTACAAGTGCCACAGCCTCGAAATGAACCTGAGCTAGCAGAAGTGGGACCTGATGGTGGTTTAATGGCATAACTAGGTGCCAACATATCCTTCAAATTTTTATTCCTTTTGTAGATTACCAAGGGATTGTCTGGTAAATGTGTCCCCAAAATGGGGTCTTGTAGCAGAATTGGCCAAGAACTTTGAAGACTTCTCTTAATTTTATTATAATCAATATTATAATGGGTGGTAAATGCAGAACGGAAACTATCCCCAGTTCCCGAAGTATATGATTTATTCTCCAAAAAAGTTTTCCTTTCTATATCGCCAATACGACGGATTTCTCTCTCCAATCTCTTTCCATTATATCCTCTATCTGTAAGCTTCCTTTTAACATGTAATGATTGGGCAAAAAAATCCTGTTTATCAGAACAATTTCGTCTAAGGCGGGTAAACTGGCTTTTGGCTATCCCCCTAAGCCAGGGTTCATGGTGACCACTCCTACGATGAACAAACCCATTACCATCAGTAGGTTTAAAGAAACATTTACTTTTTATATGACTCGAATCATGAGATAGACAAAGATCAAGGAAATTAATCTCATCCTTATTCCAGATAGGAGTAAAGACAAGGTTGTACTCATTGTCATTCAAAAAATTAACATAATCCTGAAACGAAACAGAAGATCCCTTCCAAATAATAATAACATCATCGATATAACGCCGCCACAGGACCAAGTTCGCCCTCCAGCCATGTCCAGACCACACAAATAACTCTTCCCATCTTCTCATGTATGTATTGGCATAACTGGGGGCGAACTTGGTCCCCATGACAGTCCCCGTGACTTGTAAAAAATAATCACCATTAAAGAAAAAATAATTGTGATGTAAAATAAATTGAACAGAAGAAAAAATGAAGTCCCTCATATCCCCTGGTAACTCCACATCCTGCTCCATGAAATAATCAACTGCCTCCAAACCCAGTCTATGGCTAATCACTGTGTACAGAGAGGTCACATCAAGTGTGGCCCAACTGTACTCTGGGTCCCATTCGATGTTCTCCATTTCTTGGAGGAAAGACTTCGTATCCTTCACATATGAAGGGGCCCCTTGGGCATATTTTTGTAACCGAGAATCGACATAAGCCGACAAATTAGCCGTTAGTGAATTGATGCCGCTGATTATGGGTCGCCCAGGGGGGTTAGGGAGACGCTTATGTGTTTTTGGAAGAAAATAAAAAATAGGGATGGTTGGGTTTTTCTGATATAAAAATTCATAATTTCTCTGTGAGATGATGTTTCTCTCTTTAGCTCCATTCAAAATTACTTGGAGCTCTGTATTGAATTGGCTAGTCGGATCGTATTTGAGTACACTATAAGTCTTTCTATCCCCCAGGATATGAGCTGCTTCTTGGAGATAATATGTAGTGGTCATTAACACTATCCCCCCCCCCTTATCTGCTTCTCTGATAATCACGTCGTCTCTTTTCATCAACCGTTTAAGTATCTTATCTTCCTCTTTACTTAAATTCTGGAGACGATTATTTCTATTCCTATTGGTATTCTTAGTCATATTACGAAATTGTTGGTCTACCATATGTTCAAAAGTTTCTAAAAAAGGGCCCTTACTATAAGTAGGAAAAAAATGGGATTTTGGACGAAATCTATAGTCAACATTAGTATTTTCACCAGCGATTTTAGTCTCAGGTGGATGTAGTAAAAAATGTCTCTTGATAGTTAGAGAACGAATAAACTTTTTGAGATCAATAAATAATTTAAAGTCATTGGCCTTTCTGTTTGGGGCAAATTTCAAACCCCTTGATAACAAATTAATCTCCTCATCTGAAAGTGGGGTTGGGGTTAAGTTAAAGATCCCCCTGCTCAGTTCTTTCATGTTTAATGAACCTCCATTTAAAGAAGAAATTATTCCTAGTCCTCCGTCCGGATTCTCTTCACTGGAGAATCCTGACAAAGTGTTGCAAAGCGATTGGGATGTTCCCAGGTCTCTGCCCTGGGACGAAAATAATTGGTTATGGTCTTTTCTTTGGGACCTCTTGGTTTCCCCTGAAAATTTACAGCAGAATCATTAAATTGGGATATATGATTGTCTGGATTATCTCTGCCCCTAGATATTTGTGTATGGGGTCTATTAGTTTCCCTTCTCACAGGTGATAGACTGTTGTTTCTGTTTCTAAACTCTTGTACCTCAGGTTTCCTTATTTCACCTCTTGACCGCAATGGATCCTTATTTCTCATTGGGGACCTTCCATTATTCGATGTCCTATGGGTATTATAGGATGTGGAGTTACCAGGGGATATGAGGGACTTCATTTTTTCTTCTGTTCAATTTATTTTACATCACAATTATTTTTTCTTTAATGGTGATTATTTTTTACAAGTCACGGGGACCGCCATGGGGACCAAGTTCGCCCCCAGTTATGCCAATACATACATGAGAAGATGGGAAGAGTTATTTGTGTGGTCTGGACATGGCTGGAGGGCGAACTTGGTCCTGTGGCGGCGTTATATCGATGATGTCATTATTATTTGGAAGGGATCTTCTGTTTCGTTTCAGGATTATGTTAATTTTTTGAATGACAATGAGTACAACCTTGTCTTTACTCCTATCTGGAATAAGGATGAGATTAATTTCCTTGATCTTTGTCTATCTCATGATTCGAGTCATATAAAAAGTAAATGTTTCTTTAAACCTACTGATGGTAATGGGTTTGTTCATCGTAGGAGTGGTCACCATGAACCCTGGCTTAGGGGGATAGCAAAAAGCCAGTTTACCCGCCTTAGACGAAATTGTTCTGATAAACAGGATTTTTTCGCCCAATCATTACATGTTAAAAGGAAGCTTACAGATAGAGGATATAATGGAAAGAGATTGGAGAGAGAAATCCGTCGTATTGGCGATATAGAAAGGAAAACTTTTTTGGAGAATAAATCATATACTTCGGGAACTGGGGATAGTTTCCGTTCTGCATTTACCACCCATTATAATATTGATTATAATAAAATTAAGAGAAGTCTTCAAAGTTCTTGGCCAATTCTGCTACAAGACCCCATTTTGGGGACACATTTACCAGACAATCCCTTGGTAATCTACAAAAGGAATAAAAATTTGAAGGATATGTTGGCACCTAGTTATGCCATTAAACCACCATCAGGTCCCACTTCTGCTAGCTCAGGTTCATTTCGAGGCTGTGGCACTTGTAAAGCTTGTACCACGGTGTCTATAAAAAATACACATTCATTTTTTAGCTCCACCACGGGGGAGAGCTTTACACTTAGAGATAGTATAAATTGCCACACGGACTTTGTGGTATATCTGCTACAATGTCCGTGTGGCATGCAATACGTGGGACGGACTAAGAGGATTTTGAAGGTTCGCCTATTAGAACATCTTAATAATATCAGAAAGAGACTGATGACACACTCAGTCCCAACCCATTGTATATCATGTCCCCTTTTTTCATTTAAGGATTTTAGATGTTGGGGAATCGAACGAGTCCACCCCTTCTGGCGTGGGGGTAATAGAGTTCAAAGACTAGCCCAGAGGGAGACGTTCTGGATACATAAATTACAAACCCTCTCACCTAAGGGTCTCAATATCGATATTGATTTAATTTGTTTTCTAGATTAATATGGCCTAAAATCTTCAGAACAAAGAGTTAGGATATGTGTGTTTGCCTTTAATTTGGGTTGTTTCTACAGTTGAAAGCTAATCCCTACTTAGAGAGAGGATTTATATATATATCAAATACCAGGTAGTTATTTTATATCTCTTATATTTTATTTTATCTCTTTTTTTACAATTTGTGATCTATTGTCCTATATGACCAAAAATCACAAATGACTATAATAAAAACACAATAACCGATTATTCTAATATAAATAATGGATTTGCTCTAAGGTTTTTTAGAGCTGGTATAAATTGAATGTGGTAGATTCACTAAATAAAGTTTATATGGGAAGTAGTTATTTTGTAGCCACAATCTACTAACCCCCGTTTTTGTGTAACCATAGCAATGGATTATTTCAATGTGTATAATAGGTTTATCCCAAAGATTTTTATGGGGAGTACAAATATATAACACGACAAATTGAAGTTTAAACTGATACAGTGATGAATTGATTACGGTGTTCACTTTGATTAACAATGTATAAAGTTATAAAAAAAAAAAAAAAACCTTTTAAATAATAGACATAGGAAATATGATCACTTTGTAATACGAAGCCTTAGGCTTATAATATACTGAGGTATTATGATTACTTGGTACAATATGAGGATTAACATTATGTTGTGTGATGGGATTAATGAGGAGGGTGACACTCAACAGATATATATACATAAATAACGGCTAAATATGTTAAAAATGGTTAACAGTTTTTTTTCTCAAGCAGAATGGGGCTTTTTATTTGTCCTGTGTTCCATTTGACCTTTTGAATGACTTGATCGCGCCCGGTTGCCATGGAGACGTCACTGGTGGAACGCATGTGGAACGCGGACGTTCCCGCGATGTCACTTCCGGTTTCGGCAAATTATGACCACTTCCGGTATTTGCCGAAAAAGGCGCAAATTACAAATTATGGAAAATGAATGGATGACAAACAGCTGCCACAGGAAGATCAGTCCTCCAATTAGAACCAAGGAGGATTTACACGCCTACTGGATCCACCAATAGACTCTAGGGATTAGCCCTATTTAAGGACACAGGGAGGGGGGATGTGTATAGGATATGTTTATGTATTGTACATTGATACATTGTTATTATTGTTTTTAATTGTGGTCCCTGAGGAAGTTCTTATAGAACGAAACGCGTAGGACAACCTTCTGTTATTTGTATCCTATGCTGAATTGGTGACTACACTTTTTATCTAAATAAATTTTTTATTACTGAACCCTGACCTGTGGATGTCTTTTGGTGATACAAGGATCCAGAGGTGATAAGGAATACCAGCTAGCCCCCCATTCCATTGGGGAAGGCACCTTAAGAGCGCTTTTACTGCCTACATCCTGTGAGTGCACAAGATTACTGCGCATGAAATATTGTGTTTTATAACAATATCACACTATGTTTTGTTTTATGCTTTCTCTGTAGATTTACACAGCCATATCCCGAATCTTCTCTGTTTTGGTTTATACTATATTTGTACACTAAAGCCTTAACATTGAGCATCTTGGGAAAATACCAATATCCGTACTAGCCCCCCAGCGTGTCCTGTGTTCCCATGTACTTGAAAAGATGGATACACAATCTGGGGAAGGATTCTCCAGACTTTGAATGTATTTGTTATTACGTGGTATCATGTTTAAACGACAGTTACCACAAGACGTGCAGTTACCGCTCACAAGACCCATCTAAAAATACACGTCTCCTACCAAGGTTAATTATTAGCAGGACTGGTAAAGATGAGGACGGAATCTCACAGCCGTCACTTGTGGCAAGTGCTGGGATTCTAGATAAAAGTGGATAGTGGCTTAAATCAATGACTTTATCCATATAAAATACTCAGAAGTGACAGAGTCACTTTAATGCAGGGTTCCCCAAACTCTGGCCCTTCAGATGTTGCTGAACTACAACTCCCATGATGCTCTAGCTATTTTTCATTCAAAGAATCATGGGAGTTGTAGTTTGGCAACAGCTGAAGGGCCAGAGTTTGGAGAACCCTGCCTTAAAGGGACAGTATAGTCATCAGAACCACTACAGCTTAATGTAACAGTTCTGGTGTCTATAGCATGTTCCTGGATGCTAGGCACTGTAAACGCTGCCTTTTCAGAGAAAAGTAGTGTTTACATGGCTGCCTAGTAACACTGCTAGTGACACTCACTCAGATGGCCATTAGAGGTGCTTCCTGGGGCAGTGCTACACAGTGTGCAGCACTGACATTCAGCCTCTCCATGCTCTGAATTTTCCCCATAGAGATGCATTGATTCAATTAATCTCTATAAGGAGATGCTGACTGGCACATCACATCACTTTACTGCACTTGCACTATAGCCTTTCAATGCTTTCCCATGACAAAGTATTAGATTGGCTGATATCATTAAATTTGATGACATCAGTCATGGAGGCAGGGTCAGCCACAGTGAGACCCTCATGGCGTGGGAGAAAACCTGAGTAAAAACATCTCAACGCAATTGGAGCGGGGCTGGGGACCTAAAAATCCATACCAGGACTATATAGTGTCAGGAATACATGTTTGTATTCCTGATACTATAGTGTTCTTTTAAAGCCAGAGAGATGGTGTCTTTGAACCATAGACCACAAGTAATGTGATAGTTGGGGCAATATACTCTACCCCCAGAATGTGAGTTTGCCCTACCCTGGGTTTTGCACCTACTTAACCTCATACAATCAACTTCTGAGCCAATGGTAGACCACACCTTGTCCAACACCATAAACCTATAGATACACATATTTGGGAAACAACTTGTACGATATCCAAATAAAGAGGGGGTGGGTGGTGTTGGTGCCCCTCTTGTGCCTATGAAACATGTCCTACTGGCTAACATGGGTAGTAAAGCCAGAAGGACAAGTCTACAGTAACATTTTGTATGTTAGTAGATTCTTGCTGTCCTTGTGCCATCATGTTCTATGTTTTACCAGTTAAACATCCCAAAAGGAGAAAGTCAGCCAGCTAGAAGGATGCTCTCATGGGCTGCCAGTTGTAGAATGTAATGTCCAGATACAAGACATAGCCAAATTAATGAGATGTGCTGACACCCATTTGGAACTGCTCCAGCAAAATGCCTTTATCTCCTCTGGTATGTGTGGAATTTCTGGAGAAGTACAAGAGAAAATATCTGAGGCCGGTTTGACGACAGGGTTAAGTTGCTATTAACCTATGTTTGGTATGAAGAGGCTCTGGGTATTACACTTACTTTACAAACTCAACATCTCGACAAATATGTTTTTCTCAATATAAATTTTACTGAATAGTCAGAAAAGAATGCGACAAAAATCATCACTAAACTACATATTAGGAGGCTTTTTGAGAAACAGAAATGTAGAAATAGTGGCCCCTGAACATTATTTTATAGAAATAGCCAATGATTTACATAGAAATCAGACTTTATATATTTACTATATTTACGGAATTTACTGTATTTTGAATGGACACTCTAAACACATTTAGATTAATGGAGTGGTTTTGGTGTATAGATTATGCTCTTGCAGCCCAACTGCTAAATTCTCCATTTAGTATTTAGAGGGAAACTATAAACTAGGAATACAAAATTGTATTCCTAGAGCTATAGTACCCTATATAGTGATCACCTGCAGCGCAGAACCCTTTTGTCACTTTCCTAAATCCAGTCCCTCTACCCTGGATACTCCGCTCCACCTCCCTCAATGTCAGGGACCTAATTAAAACAATGCTTTCCTATGGGGTTTTGGCTGATGCTGGATATCCCGATGCATAGAGTAAGGACATCCAGCATCACGACCTAAAGTCCCTCTAGTGGCCGTTTGGTAGACAGCCACTAGAGGTGGAGTTTACCCTGCAATGTAATTATTACAGTTTATCACTAACTACAATAATTACAATTGCAGGGCTAAACTGACAGGGCAGTGCACCCAGACCACTTCAATGAGCTGATGTGGTATGAGTGCCTATAGTCAGCGGGAAATACGTCACTTACTTAACCCGCTGACCCGGAAGTGACGTAACCGGAAATGATGTACCCGGAAGAAATAGAGGATACACGTGGAGAACGACGTACCTTTTTTGGAGATTTAAACGGACGGGAGTCTGAAGCAGGTACAGAGCACTTTGATAAAGACTATTTGTCGAAACTAGTCAGTGCAGTTGTTAAACGGTTGTATATTTGAGATCTTTTAATATTTTATCTTTATTTTATAATAAATTTGTTCCTGGTTACTTCATATCATCGTGGTTTCAACTTTGGTGCCAACTCATGATCTCTACAACTATATTTGTTCCAAAGGCGCTTTTAGTCTGAGCCCACTTTAGCTGGCTCAGCAAAATGTGAGTGAGATGGATTTGTATTTACATATACTTTTATTGTACATTCAGAGTTCACTATGGTCTACCATTTTACATTTTTTTAGGTATCTACTGATTCATGCTAATATGGTCTGTGTATGTTATATATACACCATTAGTGTGCTCTTGCCAGTTTTTATATTAGTGTTCTATTTTTTGTCTTGGAAGCTCGAAACTCTGCTAAATATTTATTAAGTGAATCAATGAACGGACACACATTTTTGGTGGCATACTGCACTATAAGCACTTCAACAAAATAAGTGTAAATAATTTTATTGTGTTTTTTGCACATTCAACATATAGCTGTTGAAATTATTTGGCATATTTGTGTAACACAACTGGCTGTTGGTAAAGTTTTCTGCTGTATATTTGAAGATTATTTTGTGCCGCTATTGGCATGTTTTATACATTGCTGGGAAATGTATTTAGCAGTTATTGGTTTATGCAGAAGCACTGTAAAATACTGCCAAAAGTAATAATATTTTAGCCCTTGCGTGGATGCACTTTTAAAAACCAATTGTGGGTGACATTTTGTACAGTGGTATACAAAATTGGTATTGACACACTACACTAAATTTGAGCTTTTCATTTCAAAGGAGCCAAAAAGAAGAGTTGCCCTCAACTGAGGGACAGGGGTTGACTTCCGTGAAATATCAACACATAGCTTTACCGTTAAAGAATTAGGTGTGGGTGGACACCCCAATCCTTAACCAGCCAAAGGCCACAGGTTGAGAAAACATTTTGTCAATACAAAAGTGTTTCATATTTCCTTGAGGCAGAAAGCTATAATGATTCAAGCTTCGAGGCTGTAAACGCAGCTCGATTCCTGTAACTTTGCATCTACGTACATTCCCTGGAGCATCCTACTATCCATTTAGTGAATTTGGCCTGTAGCAGTGCTTTGCAAAATGCACTCTCTTAATTAACCCATTGTTTGCATCAAGAACTATTGATAGAATGCTAAGTAAGCTTATCTCCATCACGTTTGTCAACCTTTGAAAGTCCAGCAGCAAATGGCCAGATCCTGATCCTGCACCTACAGTCACTGTGCTGGGACACACAAAAACTTCAAATGATATGGGCTATATCCAGTTATTTCCACAAAGATGGAGATTACAGTTTGGACCACGAGTGGATTGAAGTAACAAGACAAAAATCTGCAGTCAGCCAAACCCATAGAAAGAGAACACATTTCAACTGATTAGGACCAGTCCCCGCCTCCCGCAATTCTTCTATTCCACTAAAACCACAAAAACAGCCAGTCAGGTCTTTCATGGCTTGCCAAGTCAAGGCGGTGAATTACAAGAATTTTAACGTTTGCTACTGTAACGAAAGACACGTTGCTGACTGAAAAGAATTTCTATGTATTTACTTAGCATTTTAATATTCTCTACAACATTTCCTAACCAAGGAAGGGCTCCGTGATCCTACATGGCTGCTTACATAGTTACACAGTCTCAAAATGAGAGGAATGCATACTAATCATGCTGAACGTTCACAACTAAAATAAAGTCAATACCAATTTCAAACCAGGGTGCATTACCTGCAGAATAAGGTTGTGATTTATTTATTTATTTTTTTAATAATGGGCAAAATCAGAAGAAAAACAACAACAAAAAGGCAGAAAACGGCATAGATCGCTTATATATATATATTTTTAATTGCCCTGGGAATGGGCCTAATGCCCTGATTTCATTTTGAAGATATTTCCTTGGGGTTACCAGATGCACAACATTAGGGAATTAACATGGGATGGCTAGACAAGAGACAAAAATTGTGACAGCCCTGCTGGATCCAGGTCCATGATTTCTGTGAATATACTTTTCGTTTTATTAAGACTTGTAAGGTCGGATTCTATTTCTCTGAGCTACATCAGTCTTCAAAAATACAAACAGTTGGGGGGGTGGGGGGGGAGAAGACTAGCACACTAAACAGCGTAACCAGAGAAAAGTCAACTTCAGGAATTCCCAGCAGAAATTCTCGTTCTCGGACGTGATAAATCCAATGCATAACAGAATCACACAGCAAGACAAAAAGACATTACACGTTTCATTCCAAAGCACTTAATCATAGGTTTTTAGTCTTTGTCCTTGTGAACACTGACGTGCATTTTTGGCCCTTAGCTGGTTAAACACATAGTTGGAGATGTGCTATTTGGGAGTATGTTTTCAGCTTTATTGGACTTTATTGCTGGATATGTCTTTGACTCATACAGTCCTGTCTATAGAAAATCTGCAGTATGGAAAACAATGCACGTTAAAAGTATAATATAGAGTTAAATAATATTAATTGGAAGCTATTCTGGCCAGAGAGGTAGAGAGATAGCAAGTTATTAAAGAGTTAACTAGGTGAAAATAGTGTGTATAAGTGACTGTCGGAAAGCAATAAGTGAGCTTTGGGATCAGTGTGTGGCAAGGGAGCATCCAATTGAAAGATTCAATTCAGATCTACAGATCACATGTTATCATCTGCAGGAAAACCTGGTAAATAAACTGTAATGGATAACCAAGGACAGACTGATGACAGAAAGCAAATACCTTCTCACTTTGAGGAAATGGTTCAAAGCAAGGGAGGTATAATAATCAATCATATTATAAAAAAAAAATTCAAACACTCTCCTGTTTTGAGGTATAAAGGATTAAGATAAGGGTTGAGACGCTCATTAATGTTGGGGAGAATATTTAGGTCCTGGATGATTTTTTCCAAAACTCAGAACTTTATTATTAATGCCATTATGGAAAAAATATTCAGCTATGGTGGGCTGCCCTTGCGGGTCTACCGTTACTGAATTAGATCACCAGAGAGACCCGCCAGTAATGTCTCGGGGCTTAACCCCTATATTGAAAATAGAAACGAAAAATTCAAAACTCTCTCACGCAAAATGGTTTTTGAGCGTGAGCGTTTAGCTGGAGAAATAGTTAACAATGTTACTCCTACATGGCAGTGAATTGAGCAGTGACTGTAGTGTCCCTTTAACATAAGAGGAGGTACAATCCACTATCCACAAGTATGCACCAAGTCAACTTATCAGTAAAACATATATGAAAAGCATACAGGGTAACAATGTCTCATTTATTATAAAATCTGTTGAGTGAAACTAGAAATGCGGTTTATAACATGTCCTCTATGTAGGAGGTGAAAGATAGATAATAAGTTAGCAGGCAGGTAGATAATTCAGCTCCCCCAGTTATGAGTATAATTAAATAGAAGTATAGCCCCAGAATAGAATTACGAGATTAACATAAGAAATCACGCAAGAGGCCCCTAAAATTATCTATTGGAGATCAGCTTCCTGCATGACTAGTTAGAGGCAGACGTTACATCTTAAAATTCAACAAAGAGAAAAACTGAAAATTCAAGAGGAACTGCTGTGACTCCTAATGAAGGGAAAGGTTAAATGGTAAAGGTAAATTGTCATCAAGAGTCCCACACCCTCTATCAACCCACACCCTCCATGGGTAGGACACCGCCCCCCCCCGTAGAAGACATTCTTTGAGCACAGTAACCGACATGGCAGGAGAAGGGAACAACAGTTGCACTGGTGAGATGGTCTCTAGGTCGCTAAAATCCGAATTTCTACTCCAATCTCAAAACTTTACCTCAATCCGAAACCTCAGATAGGAAGTACCACTTCCCAGATTTCTGCACAACCAAACTGCTAAATAAAAAGGTAGATATTGGTTGCGGTAAAGTTTAAAAAAAAGAAAAATGCAGATTAGTCTTAATTTGATTTACATACTGTAGTGCTGTACACATGGCGCACACTGGGCTGGAGAAAATGGCAGGCATGTCAAAAAATTCCTCTGCGCTTCCAAGTTCTGGGCAGCTACATTTTTTACCTATCTCACTGCTGCTTTTTTCCCACTTCATTTTTATTTTTGCTGCACAGTTTCAGAAATATAAACAAGTGTACACAGTAATTTACACAATAATAAGATGGTTTATCTGTAGAGATTAAACTAAATGGTGTGCTGCACATTCCAGAATTATAGCTCGATTATCATTTTTATGAAAAGAAAGTAAGTAGCTGGAACATTAAAACTATTGTATGTCGATAGAAAAAAAACAAAAAACACGTTATTCAATGTTATGAGTAGGTAGGCTCTTAAAGGGACACTACAGCTTATTGCATTTGTTCTGGTGAGTATAATGATTCCCTTCAGGCTTTTTGCTGTAAACACTTACTTTTCAGAGAAAATGTAGTGTCTACATTACAGCCTAGTGATAACTCCAGTGGCCACTCCTCAGATGGCTGCTAGAGGAGCTTCATGGTGTAGTGCTGCACAGTGTGTAGCACTGACATTCAGCGTCTCCACCCTCTGCATGCAGACACTGAACTTTCCTCATTGAAATGCACTGATTCAATTCATCTCTACGAGGAGATGCTGATTGGCCAGGGCTGTGTTTGACTTGTGCTGGCTCTGCCTCCTTGACAGTCTCAGGCAATACTATGGGGAAGCATTGTGATTGGCTCAGAAAACCACTTCTGATAATGTTTGCAGACAGCAGGCAGATTTTACCATATTTATGGAAGCAAGGGGAGGCCGGTGGGGAGAGGGGGAGTTAGATGGTGGTTTTAACAATATAGGGTCAGGAATACATGTCTGTGTTCCTGCCCTTACAGTGTTTCTTTAAGGAATAGGAGTTCACCCTGCGCAGTATAAGAGAGGGCACATCTGCACTAACAATATATGTTTGGACCATTTTAACAGGTCGGAGGTGGAACAAGTCAGTAGCTCCTATGTAAAAAAGAAAGCAGAGTGAAAGTGATATACTACATAACTAAATAAGAGTCTAAGTAATGCATAATATGGCAGTGGGATACAATAGTTAGATAACAAGGGGCCGTCGTTCAACACCTGATCTCGAGGCTTATGGCAGTGCAAGAGAGATCTGTTTACATGCATAGAGTGGCCAGTTACGACCGAGAGGCAGCACAGCCCTCAATGAGTTTGAGTGGAGCTCTGGTGAGCAGAGCTCTTCAGCTCCTACTGGGCTACATAGAGGAATAGTTCCAGATTCCAAATGCTCGGGGTAGGAGGGCTGCATAATACCCAGAGCTTTCGCACCTGTCTGACTCCACTGGGTATCCACCCTGAGGAGGCAGTCTGAGGTACGTAGTGGTCAGACACTATATTGTGTCCTCTGATGAATCTGAGCAGATTACGAGCTCCACTGCTTGTGTGAGATCTGACGTAGGACCTCTTCAAATATGGTGTCCAGTCTGCTCATCCTTGCCGCCACCCACTAGGAAGGCGAAGGGCAGGACCCAAGTTATATCTCCATTGCAATGTGAAATTAGGTGAGTGTCCAGAGCTCAATGTGGACTCCTGAGACCAGGATGACCACCACTATGTGTGGTTACAGACAGGAGGAGTGCGGCTGCCTCATCCATGCACACACTGTCAGTATGCCACCACCAGTGGATCCAAGCTGGTCTGCAATCTAGCAGGAAAAAAAAAAAAAAGTGTCCACAACAAGCAGATACACAAACAGAGTAGAAAACTAGAGTTAATGCATTCTGGTAAATAACTTATAGGAAGATCTGCCGAGAAGCCACAGCACCATGTGCCTGCTCTGCTTGGCAGCCCAGCCTCGCCCCTCTATGTCCGCTGCTGTGTTCACCCCAGTAAACTCTGAAATGGTGAAAATTCGCTATTCCAGTCACAGTGAAATGACCAAGTTTACAGTGAATGGAATAAATACATTTTAGTTTAATTTTGTGGCTTGGAATTACTTTATGTGTTTAGGGAGCAGGAGATAGAAGTCCTGTCGAAGCCAGGAAACTGCAAATGCCTTGCCGCAAAGTATGATCTCTATTATTATTATTATTGCCATTTATATAGCGCCAACAGATTCCGTAGCACTTTACAATATTATGAAAGGGGATTTGACTATAAATAGGACAATTACAAATAAACTTACAGGAACAATAGGTTGAAGAGGACCCTGCTCAATCGAGCTTACATCTCTAAATGACCATTCGGCTTTATTCCTAATCCAATCCCTACCCAAATTCCAAAAACTCTAATGTCAATCTACAACATTAATTCAGTGAATCCTAAATGTAATGCCAATACTAAACCCCAAACCAAACTACATTAACCCCTTAAGGACCAAACTTCTGGAATAAAAGGGAATCATGACATGTCACACATGTCGTGTGTCCTTAAGAGGTTAAATAAAATAGATTTTGTAGTCTAAGTAGTGATGGTTATTCTAGGTTAATAAAGTTTCGTCATTCGCTCAGATTGCATTCTAATGTTCTAGATTCTCCCATTCCATATTTCCTTCCCCGTTCTGCTATCGTAAAAAAAATAAAAGGACTCAAACCCTTATTTTTACTTTAGCTTTAAAACCTCTGACATTACGTTAGGGTCTCAGCATTTTTATGCATATAAGCAGTACAAGGCTGTGAGGTAATCTTTTAACTTTGCTACTAGGCTTGAACCCACCCATTTTCAAAAACGAGGGAGTTTACACTCATTTATAAGATTTGGGGGGGTGGAGGTGGACTCTATATGACATTTTCTGATCATGTGAAAAACAGGAGAACATTAATTCCTGATTGCTAGAGGGGCAGAAAATTAGTATGTATGAAAAAAGTTTTTAAACAGACAACCCAAAGCATTGTGGGAAACGCTACAAAACTGGCCGAGCTAGAATCTGCCTGCCCTGGAGAATTGAATCAGCGAGCGATGTGTTTAGTATCCAGCTATGACTTCATTCTTCCAATCTGAACAAAATAATGTGGATTCCCTTAACCTCCTCCTTTGATTTGGGGGAGGGAATGTGTTAGGCAAAGCAACTACTTAAACAATAGTTGTGAAAGGCTAATCTAAAGCTAATCTAAACAGCTGCATTTTGTGTTTTTTTTTTTTTTAACTCTTACACACATTTGTGAGATGAATTAAACAAACATTTCGAAAAGTGGGTGGTGTGGGGGCAAACATTTCAAATAGTCAGACAGAGGCACCTTTGTTTTAGAGCGAGTAGAAGTAGCAGCATGAGGTGTGCTGAAGGGAGGACTATTTTAGAATATTTTAGGAGACCAGAACAAAACGACACTCATGGAAGTTTTTTAGGATGTGGAGCTCTGATACAGTGAGAGACATAAGCAACATTCAGAGCTCCCAGGAAAAAGGAGAAGATGTGTTTAAATGGATTTAGGTCCTACAGAGGAACTTTGGGAGGTAACGTGTGCCCATAGACCTATGTTCTCACTTTCTCCATCACTATTGTGGATAGATACATGAATAAATAATAAGTGTGCTAGTGGAAGCAGCATGTCCTCTATTAAAGCTTCACACTAAACTGCAATAGTTTAAAACCAACTAGTATTCTTTGATCACAGTAACATTTCCTCATCTTCCATGGTAAATATTGATATATATGCTGCACAAGGTCTTTCAAATGTCTGGGAATCACCATAAGAGGCAATTATGTTCTTTCAGAACTGGAGGTGAAATGACTCCAGGCAATAGAAATATGCTGAAAGAGGTTGGGACACTGGTCCATGGGACAGTGCCAGGGGGCATTCTGGCACCATAATCACACTGTAGTTGTTCTGGTGCTTGACCCCAGATGGTGACTTCAGTTTTTGGTGTCCATTGGCCGCAGGGTGCGGGGGAAGATACGTTTTACTTACCTGAAGCTATAATTTGCGGCCACCTCTATCTGCAACCATTGATTTCTCTTTAGCCCCTGTCAGGAGCCCACGTCAGCGTTGCACTCTTGCACATGCAGAGTAATATGGAAGACCTTGCGAGCCTCTATCGATATTGTATTGAGATGAGCCCCAAAGAGTCCCAAACAGGGCAAATCACACAAGTGATAGAACAGAGGACAGGCCAGAGGTGGGCATTACAAGAAGAATACCCACAAATCTCTGCATATGGCTAGGCTGAAATGGGGACAAGGTGAGTATCTTGATATGTTACATTAAATAGGTGACAAAAAGGGACTTTAATGTGTCACATGGCACAAGAGTCAGAGCCTACCCCCTCCAGCTGTGAACAAAAACAGTCTGTCATGCAGAGATATCTGCCTGGCTGATCTAGGTATGCTTTTGTTGTCACGGTGGACTTGCAGATGGGGGAAGGGAAGTGTAGTTTGTATATCCTGTTGGCAGCGACAATAAAGTTCAGTTGCTGTTTGTACCAAGAAAAGCTGGTTTGTCTTGCTTTTTCTCATAGGATATTGATATTCATTGTTCTCTATAGAGTAATTACTAATTATTGCCAGAGTGACAGCACTTATTATATATCAGCTGTGCAAGTTAATGCAAGTATCCACGGACGATATAAGGCCTGAACTTCGGTAACAGAGACGCCAGGGCTGCATCACCAGCGGTGGGATAACTTGCAGTACAATAATCCGAAGAGGCTAAAGTTGACCCGACATGCACACCAGAGCTCAGAGAGCTGCTGAGGGATGCAACATGGCTGAGCAGCAGAATGGAGTGTCCGAACCACAACCAGAGGCTTCCTGCATCGCTCCTGTAGCATTAACCTGAGCAATAAGACTGGCCCAGAGGATGCAGGACTACAGGGATGCCATAGGCGGCCAAGTAAACAAGAGGGAGCTGCTAGCAATCGCAGTAGAGGACCTGGCCTGAGAGGATCATAATCCCTAGGTGATTGTGACCCCAACTTTGGTCTCCCTATCTAGCCAGACAGAGGGTTCCCATCTTAAAGTATCAGTGCACAGCTTTTATAAGTTTGAAGATACAAATGACTGATATAGACTGGTTCCTGCAGGACTTTGAGCAGCAATGTGAGCTCAATCGCTTGCCGTCAGATGACTGGGTGTGGGTACTGAATGGGAGACCGACAGGTGGAGCCCTGCAGAGCGATTCCAGATACAGGGTTAAGTTCCGGGAAATCCAGGTAACTCCAGAAGGCACCTAACCGGAGTGCATATGCCCTTGAGTGATGGTGGACTGGAAGTGAAGTGCACTCCCGGGAGGACTGTAAGCAGATTGTGCTGATGGGACAATTTTACCACCTCTTGCCGGAAGAGGTGCGACAGTGAACCCAAGACCAGAAGTTCACTACAGCTGCTGCAGCCGCTAAGTCAGCCCAGCACTTCGTTGACAGTCGTGGAAGAGTCCCCAGAATCTCTCCTCCAAGACAGAATCCTACAGCACCTGTATTCATGTACCAAGGCTGCGGATAGTGGTAGCAGCCCCTGCTCAACCGGTGGGCTCTGGGAAAGTCTGCATTCCAGAAAGGAAGAAATGGGGAATCTGGGCCCACAAAGAGTCCCGGGGCTAGGCACCACCATGTTTGCCATTGGTGCCAGTGCCTTGGATATATTGTGAGAGACTGTCCTTCTTAGACCCGCGGTCCTTATCCCCCTGCTCCACCTGTCCAGATGATGGAAGAGTGGGGCCTGAGGAATATGTTGGGGCAGCAACGGAAGTGGTGGTGGACCAGTACCAGAACTGTTTGGACTGGCCCACCGGGTCCCAGGGAGTGATGCCGGTACTGACCGTGCAGTGGCCCAGAGAAGACCTAAACCACTGCTGGTAAATGGCATGCCTGTAGAAGGACTGCGGGACACTGGTGAATTCTTGACCATTGTTAAGCCTCATCTACAGCAAAGTGTCCCACGCTTGCTCCAACCCTAAGTGATTGCCATCGCTGGTGGAGAGTGACTTGCTATTTCTGTGGCCAGTGTGTGGACTGAGGGGGAAGGGTTGCCAGGCATCCCTGTTTATGTGTTTTTGGGGAACAACCTGATCCCACGGAGAGCTACTTCATCCAAATTCTAACCCGGCTCAAGTGGCAAAAGCAAAGAACTTGCCCCCATACCGTGGATTACCTTCAGTCAAAGCTACTACTCAGCCAATTCAGCAGCGTTCGAGGAGACCCAGGAAGCGCCCCACCCAGACTTTCTAGTATCACAACCTCAGGCCGGCCCCAGCAACCACTCTGAGGCTGTGCCAAGGGTCCTGGCCGTCGTCCAAGACAAGGATACAATTGTAGTTAACTCTCCCACTCAACCCACCGTACACAAAGATAGCACTCCCACTCTGGCAAATGACCTGGTATGTGAGGTGCCAAAACCAGGAGAGTTTGAGGGGCTATGTGAGATTGTGAGAGGAAGGCCTGGCCAGGAGAGGGAATTACGTGAGTGTGTGCAACATTCTGTGCCTGATCAAGGGTTGTCAAAGAAGTCATGTGAAAAGCCTTCTGGGGAGGGGGCTGAATGAATTTGTGCCAATATGTAATAAAAACAGAAGGGATTCAGCGTTTGTAGAATACTGGTACAGTTGCGAAGGCAGCTTAATCACCAAAACTGGGTCTCTTTTATCCGGTAGAAAATGTAAAAAGTAGAGTAGGTGCAGTGCCTAGGATGTCTTTGAGGGTATATGCCAAAAAACCAAGAAGGAGAGTAACTAATAGTGTATAATGTAAAATATAAAGGCGAGAAGATAAAATAAGTTCACTCACACTTTGCATGAGCTTATGTTCAGCTCCAACTTGAAAGCTTGGGGGAAATGATCCCCCACATTATAGGGATATAATGTGGTACAAAATCTGCAGAGACACCGGGGCTGTATCATCACAGAATACATCATGTATCTTTGTGATTTATGATGTACTTAAAAATACATGAGCACCATTTCAGGTAAGTTACATTTTTCTTAACAGGTTTATTTTAAGTGAATATTGCAGGGTGACAGCTCATTCAATGGGAACATAGTATCAGAGGTGTAGTAACAATTTCATATCTACTAATGTGCCTTTTAGGGCCTGTGTGATATATTACAGACTACATATCCAAGTGATACACAACCCATCTCTAACCTCGAAGTGGAATTGTTATGCTTTTGTTTCTTATTGAACAGAACCTAGGCCAAAGTTATAGTTTGCTGAAACATTTTCAATCAAATCTTGCCGCTCAATTTAAAATTAATATTTTTTTAATAACAGGAGCTTATTTAGATCAATGAGGTTTTAGTTCAGTTAATAATAGCTAAAGTTATGTCATTATTTGCCAAATACTAAGTACACACTGCTTATAAGATTAAATACAATACATAAAATGTATATATATATATATAATCTGTAAATTATGCAAATATAACGGTTTACTGTAAAGTACTAATAATCTTCACAAATAAATTGCAAATTGTAATAAACAAATACATTGGGAAATTGCAATATTTAATGTGGTATTTTATATAGCTATGTAATGTTCTACCCTTTACTTACCCCTATCAACCCTTAATAAATGATTAAAGAGTGGTTTATTGTTTACGGTAAAGAAACCAATTTATCTCCTCTTATTAACCTCATAATAAGCATTTGGGTCTTATATTTATATCTGTAATCTTAATTACTGTTCTTTCAATATATATTTAGAGTTGATTCACATATTTAATACTGTCTATAGAAAATACGTAAAGGGACATTGTAAACACACAAATAATCTTATACTTCATGTCTCCATAAAAATAAATAAAATAACCAAAAAAAACAAATCCCGTGTTTGCTGCAATACCCCAGGAGTGGAATCTTCTTTCAAGAAACCAGGAAGTGGCTCTGCTAATCCAAATATTCTCTTATCCTATCCTCTTATCCTCTCCTATTTTTAATGGGAGCAGTTTATATCCCATAAACTCTTGCCCTGCACAGTTCCATTCCACAGTAAGGTGGAGTGGGAGCTGCTACAATGATCACGGGGAGATCCATTCACAGTTTTTAATACAGTCATACAGCCTGGCTCAGACTCATTCACAATAAGCTGATAAGAAGCCTGTAATGTCAGAGAAGACTTGTATAACCATATAGTTACCTGGGATGCATTCTATGACCTCTCTTACGCAGTGTTAATTTTTTGTCAAATTTAAGTCGACTAAAACAATTCAGATGACTAAAATACGACCAAAACTAAAATGGCTTTTTAGTCAAAAGACTATGACTAAAGCTAAATTGAAATTTGCTGCTAAAGCTTAACACTGCACAGAGGAGCTCTGGAAGGGACAAAAGAAAAATACCTGGGCTTGGGAGAGAGACACCTAGAGGGGCTGGGAGGATACAAAGACACAGAGGGCTGGGAAGGGGCAAAAAAGCCAAATAGAGGCTTTAACTAAAAACATTAGATTTTAGTCATGTCGACTAAAATCTCCAGGAGATTTAGTCGACTAAAACAATACAGATGACTAAAATACAACTAAAACTAAAATGGCTTTTTACTCAAAAGACTATGACTAAAACTAAATTGAAGTTTGCTGCAAAAATTAACACTGCTCTTGAGGTTGTCTTACAGCAGCACTGATTTTGTAAACTGCGTTTAGGGAGACACGGGCTGGGGATATCCCAGCACCATAACCTATGCAAAGATACACTATCAGTCTAGGTTAAATAGAGGAACATTTTCTGGTGGGTTTATCAAGGAATTATGGGTTCCTGTTCTGTAAATATATATATATAAAATCTAATTGCGACACAGTCTTTTTTTGTCAAACATGAGATATTTTCTCCCCCTCCCCGTGTACATAAGGTGTGTTTAGAGGGGACATTGGACTAGATTGTCCCTTCATTCTGAACAAACTTGATTCACTCTTTTTCAATGAATTATATAGATAAAACATTAAAATGTATGCAAACACTAAATGAAAATAAACAATGTTTAACTCCCAGAAACCCCTGCTTTACAAGCTCTAAGGAAACTAGAAGAAATTATAAGGAGATAGGGAGACACACCTTGCTGAGTCTATGTAGGGACTAAGGACAGGGGACTTCCTTACATATAACTAGTGTGAAGAATGGCATTATGGTGCATGGAGTGTTCCACATTTGTAATGAAGAACATAAAAAATTAATAAGGGACACTAATAACAGAACTGTTTCAGCTCAGCGCAGTAATTATGAATAGTCAGCCCAAACCCAGCAGTCTATACCCATCACTGTTGGCCACATTGGATAAACTCGACACTAATAATGTGGAAGTATAAATTCCTCATTATCAATTCAACCATGGAGGGGGTGTTCACTGTGTGTTAGGTAACACCCTGTTTTGTTTTTTTGTCCAACAATGTTTAAAAATAACTGGGATCTAAATTGCGTAATATTGAACAGATTGTAGGAAAATAAATTAACAATGAACTATTGTTCCTAGAGATAGATATCTGCTATACCTCACTGGCGATGCCAAACAAGGCTAAAACCATCATCTGGGGTTGCTGTATCTCTCGTGCAGAGAGAGCCGGCCTGCATTTCGGATCTGGACCACCCTTTTGGGTGGGATCAGACTAATATGCAAATGGCCCAGGATTTTTTTTGTAATGGCACAAGTTGAGCTAAAACCAGCTTGAGATCAGAGCAGGGACCCACCGAAGGGCTGGATATTTGAGCTGTTGCCCGTTCTCAGTACCCTCTTGCACCCAGTTTTAATAAACTTTATTGGTTCTCCATCACTAGCGTTTTTAAAATGGTGGGCAGGTTTTCTGCATCATTTAAGAAGTACCTTAACATGTCCTGTATTCCCATAATTCATTGGTGGAAAAGTGCAAGGAGGCCATCCGTGACGAGCGTGGTACGGCAACAAGAGATTAGGATCCAAGGGCACCCAGGGTACAGATAGGGAGGAAGGAGGTTTAGGGAGGTGACTGTGGGCCTGATGTAGGTTATAAGAGCCTCTACCATTTTGTGAGAGGCCCTTGTAGATACTGACAGAAGAGTCTCTTGAAGAATGACTCAGAAGGTAAGAGCCGTCCTGGAGACTAAAAAGAACCAAAACAAAACAAATAAGTAAATTAATAAAAAATTGAAAACACGGATTAAAAATACAGCAAAAACAACAAGTGCAAACTGTCCCGCCTAGGGTGCATAATTCGTTATTGCACTATGGAATATTATCCTTTAATGTAATTGGTGTAGTGCCTGTCTGGTAGAGATGGAATATTGTCAATGTCAAAAGGGGTTCATTTGATTGTATGAAAGGTCAGATGACACATTCCTAAATTGCAAAGAAATATGTGAAAAGGGTTTTACCATATGGATGGATCCTGTGAATTAATCAAAGGCTCTGCAAGGTGTGAGATTCTACACTTGAACAGCCTGAATGTCTGGCTTCAGCCATATGGCCTGTACTTCTTAATTGATACGTCAGTCTCTTCGATATATTAATGGCCATTAGCCTTGTTCCAGTATCATAGCCAAAAGAAAAAACATTAATATTTACCCACAGAATAACTATTTTTGTTATATTTGGAATGTGTTTATATATATATATATATATATATATATATATATATATATATATATATATATAAAACAAAAATAGTATATATATATATATATATATATATATATATATCTCTCCGCTATATTGGGTCGCAAGTAAGGTGTGTAACATTTCTATGGAATATAAAATACCCCCTCCTGTCTTATTGGAGATTCCTGAAAAAATAAAAATATGAGAAAAATAGTTGCAGCGCACTCAGACTACAAAAAATACAACACAAAGAAGGCTTCTAAATTGTCTATCTAAGAATAAATATGGGGATTTAGTTCCACCATATGGCTATATGATGTTAAGCCCACCACTGCTTTCAAAGTACCCCAATGTTGGTGGGTCCATTCAACACAGATATCATCTGCAATAGTGAGTATATTCATTCTAGCACTAACACTTTAATTGTTTAGTTTTAACACGGTTTTTAATTGCTTTTATCACTTTATTTTTGTATACTCACTTTGCTCTTACAAGGATTTAATAATACACTTTATTTTTAACACTAGTACTATTTAATTTGTCCCCCACATTTTAGCGTAGGATCCACCAACATTGGGGTACTTTGAAAGCAGTGATGGGCTTAACATCATATGGCCATATGGTGGAACTAAATCTCCATATTTATTCTTAGATAGGCAATTTAGAAGCCTTCTTTGTGTTGTATTTTTTGTAGTCTGAGTGCGCCGCAACAATTTTTTTCATGTATGAAGTTTGGCCACTGCGGCAGCACCTTTCATGCAAAACGCAGGTCTCGGGTGTGCCCCCAATCCTTTCTCATTGGAGATTCCTGGCTGATACCAGCAAATCTAATGTCTAGTGTAGGACTCACCTTTTGATGCTTGCCTTGACGTGGCAGGTGAGATTATATTCAAAAGAGCCTCCATTTAGTTTAAATGTACATAGGGATTTGGGCCAGAGCGCAGGTAACGTTCTTTGTTTTTACTACGTATTTGGGGCTGTTCAATACTAAGCTACTGCTGCTGTAAGCGTGGTGCTTTATTTTTGTGTTTGTATTTGATGTTTGTATCACGCAGCTATGTTACATTGCTGACAGCCACCCCATGTTTGTCTTAAGAGTTTATAAGTATGTAGGGGCAGCACCCTTTCCTGTCTCAACAGATAAATTTGCCTTTTAGCTGATACCAGCAAGGTGATTTGTATGTGTTATAGCCCTATTTAGGGTAAATAAGTTTGTAGGGGTTTATAAAATACCTCTTCATGTTTCATTAGAGATGTTTACCTTTGTCTGATACCAGCAAAGTTTATTGTATGTGTAGAAGCCCTAGAAAGGGTTAAAGGTGAAAGGGTTTATAAAACACCCCTTCCTGTCTCATTGGAGATTCTTGGCTATCAGCAAATCTAATGGCTACTGTAGGACTCTCCTTGACGTGGCAGGTGAGCTTATATTCAAATGGCCATTGGAATAAAACTAAAGAGCCTCCATTTTGTTTAAATGTACATGGGGATTTAGGCCAGAGCGCAGGTATCATTCTTTGTTTTTAGAGACTAAGCTACTGTTGCTGTAAGCGCAGTGCTTTATTTTTGTGTTTGTATATCTATGAAATGGAAAAATAATAAATTCGTAGATGCAATTATTATTTCTGTGGTAGTTACATAAGAGAAGATAGAACCAAATGTTTCCATTTGGATTAATGTGGGTCTGGACACAAGGGAGTGGTCACTTAGTGTATCTATAGATACACCTTACTCTACCTCTGGGTGAGGCGTGGTAATCCACACGGTACATCTCTAGTGATAATGGCAATAATTTTATAGACACAAAGCTCAGCGTGGCCCAAAATGCCAAGTTGGAGAATGTTTCCAAATCTCCCATTTTTACCTAAATTAGAAATTTCTACTCAATTCTCTGATAAGTGAATAAATACTTAAAGGGTCACCATAACAACTTCATCTAAATTAAGTTGGTCTGGTGCCAGGAGATTCTTGGGCACACTATTATCTTAAGGGGTTAAAATGTTCTTAAACGGCTTAACCCCAAAATGCTCCTCCAGAGCCGATCGTCAGATGCCCCAGGTGGGATTCAGAAGCCGGATGCTTCCTGGGAGACCTGAGGATCGGTGTTGGCAGGTAGGATAGCCTCTACTTTAGCATAAAGTGATTTTGGTACTTATTCTGTTCCTTTAAATTCACAGAAATAGGGTTCTTAATACATATTATAAATGTACATTCATGTCAGCTTATTAAAAACACCATAACAGTGAACTTTATTAATATGAACCTGCATATCCTAGCAAAGATGAAAATCTGCAGGTGTGCAAACTCATGAAAACCTTATAATATAAATAATGGACTTCATCGTTTGGTCTTTATCTGCAGCACAGACCTAACTTGACTTCTTTAGAATCAATTTAATGTCATATTGTCTTAACAATCTAACACCTTAAAATGGGAAAATCATCAAATCTCACGTAGAATAATATAACGTGTGTTGACCTTATCTCCCAATGTGTGTTAAGTAAAGGGGATAAGTTAAGTGAATACTAAAAATGCTGGCAGTGAAGGTGTCCCTTTAAGACAGTGCAATGAAAGCTCTATGCAGTCTTGCAGCTACTAAATGGAGTGTAACATCTCCTTTGTTTCTGATTTAAGATTCCTAAAGAGACACATTTCGGGCACAAATCCAACATAAGTGCATTTAACTGGTTTAGACACACATACAGGTATAGTGTATTGTGCTCTTGTTATAAAGGAGTATGTAATCAATTATATCCTTATGGGGTTAATTTACAATAAAGAGCAAACCTATATCAGATCTGTCAAGTATTTCACCACCTCTGGGGCAAGAAGGACTATTAAACAAATGTACTGCTTCCTTGTAATTCAGACCTACATACGGAATTATTTTTCATCTTATCGATTCCAAATACCATCTCTATTTCAGAGAAATTCATATCCGGTTTCCATACGGTTTGCTCTAGACTTGCTCTGTTTGAAATTCTCATTTTAAATAATTTAGCACCGGGATAATTTGGGTAAAAATCAATAACGAAGCTCTCAGCGTGGCTGCAGTGAAATCTACCATTCAACAAAGACAGTCATGTCATCACGTTATTTATTTTTCAACTTACTGGAAATGCAGACATTCCTAACTGATCCTTTGTCAAAATGGAACCAAATAGATTATTCCAGCAGGGGAAAAAAAACAAAACACTCTTTAGATTAAAAACGAGTGTCAAATATTAAGTGAGAATCCAAAGGGGTTTATTAACTAAACACCAAATTGTAATGAAAACTGAATCGTAAAAAAGGTTGTGAAATTTCCACAACTCACTGAGAGACAGAGTATGAGAGTAATGGTGTGTGTATATATGCCAGAAACGATCACATTATATGTAAAGAGATACCAAGTCACCTTAGTGTAGATCAGAAGACAGTAAGAGAATATATGATTTGTGTAGAGAGAGAAAATAAAAAAAGACAACAGTAAATATGAATATATTAAAAATTAGACAATAAAACTCTGAAATTTGAAAAGTTCTACAAAAATGAACTCACCCAGTGACAAGTTTCAGGATATGACGGAGCATCACGAGACTGTTTGCAGGGCTGAGAACACAAAGAGAGAAATAAAAGGCACAATTAGCTTTTTTTTTTTATTCTTTATTTTGGTTGTTCATAAAACACCATACAGGCTTGCAATACCACAACGGTTTATGCAAACAGAGAAATAAACAGAGAAAAAAGATATTCATGTGGTTTTAAATACTTGGCACATTTTTTTATGTTAGAGAGAGTTCTAAGTTATACATTCTAGTCTAGAGATGTATGGTCCGACTTTGTCACCTTCGTGTGGCTAGCTAGAATGCTGGTATATAAAAGTTGAAATTCGATTGTAAGCATAAGTTGCGTTAGGTTGCCCATCTAGGTATGACAATTAGCATTTTTAATAATAATAATAGTGCTTCTTTAATAAGGTTAAAGCTACACTCTGAGCAGGGTTTTGCATCGGTTCACTTCGGTCTATAAAGTGCTATAAAACAGACTCGGTGGTGCCGGAATGTGCCAAACCGTTCTAAAAACCTTTTCTTTTTTTTTTTTACATCTATCATGGGACAATGCCAGGACACTTGTGGAATCATAACACTACAGTTGTCTGTTGTTGTTATGGTGCCAAACATGCTCCTTTAATAATATCAGTCAATCGTATCGCTAACACAAATACATTTTTTTTTTTAAAGGAACGATATGGGAGCTGATCAGGATTTTCCATATTTAGTCCAAGCAGTCACACCAATCCTTGGGTATTTATACCAACAAAGGTTCAGAGAAACTGCACTCATTTCATTAGACAAATAATTAGGTGCAACCAGGCCAGGGGTTAGCACAATCCTCAAACAGTTTAAGCCAAGGTAGAAGAAAAAGGCCCAGGCACTCCGAAGTTCAGCAAGGCACGTTTATTAGAACAAAGTTTTCCAGCTACATTGGGTCTGTGGCAAGCTTGCTCTGAATTCCTAAAGGACAGAATAATAAAACGGATAAGGATATTCCACAGGATGGGACAATGTGTTGCCTATTTACAAAAGAGAACCAATATCTCAATAATGCCAAGGCAAAAAACACATTCTTGCCCTACAAACACAATCCTGCCCTACAAACACAAAATTGCTCTTACAAGGACAAATAATGGTTTCTTTACCCACCGGCATTTGTTTCATAAATTGAGAGGGGGAGGGCTAATTTACTATGCAAGAAGGCCACAGACAAACTTACCCCAAAGCACTCTCCAAACATGTACCAAGGACACACACCCAAGCACATAAAGAAGGACTTATCCATCAAAGGGACATCGTCACATATTCAGATATTGTATGCTCCTCTAAATGTCTGTTGAAAATATTGCTTTTGTGCAGGCCTTATACATCTGTCACAACATTACGTTATTTTATGTTAATAGAGCCACAAGTGAACAAATGACCCCCGTTTTTGCAAGTTAATAATGAAACACACATGGGGGCGGAGCTTAACCACGGAACGGAGCGGTCGCATGTGTAGCGAGCTCCGGCAAAAACGCGGCTAATTACCGACAAACAAACCTCTCACAGCCCTTATAATCCTATCAACCGACGGCCAGGACAGAGGGGCAAAGCACTCACCCGATCGATGCCCTTTTTATACCGCCAGACGGGACGGAAAGTACGCCGCACATCCAAGGCCTATCCAGACTACAGGGCCTTTGAGACGGCGCTCCACAACGCGGTCTTCTCCACTGCCATACCGCCCACGGAGCACACAGACACCGACCCGATAAACATGGGACGAAAATCCCAGCGGATAGCTACAGGTGCGTGCAAAGATACCCAAGACATTAGCACCATGCTCCAGCGCACAGCAGCACCGAAAATGGCGGCCACACCCGACCCAGACACAGGCTCCACGTGCTCGGAACTTGCCCTGGGGGACACCCTAGAACATCACTCAGCCCAAACTGACCCTGATGCACTGACACCTGCCACAAAATTAGACATTAAAAACCTCCTCATGGAGCTGAAACAAATGTCCGCAGCAGACATGGCTTTAATGAAAACGGAGGTGCAGGCGGTCACAGACCGAGTGAAGACCACTGAAGAAGACATTATAGATGTTCAAAACGAAATGAGAAGCCTAAAAGAAACAGTGCACCAACTAAAAGACAGGCACCCCCCCAAGCAACCCGTACGGTGCCATACCCAAACAGACAGAAATGCCATCTTCGCTGCCCTAAAAGGCAAAACACCATTGGACTTTGAAACCGCGAGTCTTACCTTCTATCAGGACCTGACCCGATCCACACTCCAATGGAGAAGAACCCTGCGCCCTATGACCCGCCGCCTCCAAGACGCCAAGTTAGTATACCGCTGGACTGCACCAAAAACATTATCGGTGGACCACAACGGCACCACTCTACACCTCAACTCCACTCAGGAGGTGGACTCTTTCATTAGGGCACTGGGACTACCACAAGGATCTGACCACACAGAAGTACCCGCCAGCTCCCATATGTGGGACCCCAACAGGACTGTCCCTTTTCTACCGAGGGGAAGAGGAGCCCCTGAGGCAACCACCTGACACCACTGACTGTCTCTCAACCCATAAACGCGCTTCAACTACGAAGCCTCTACCGCTATAATTATTGTTTCGCTATAATTTGACTTTCACTGGTTTTCGACTTGATTTTTCTCAATTGTTTAAGGCTTGGCACCTAGGCACCACTGTAAGGCACACTATGTTTCCCAGGATTATATAATCCACGTAATGGCAAAATACGGCACACCGCTATAGCCACGACGAGTAGCACACTACACGGCAAAACACTCTTAGGTTAGGGCCAACTATAGGCCGCTGGTATATTCCGCCCCCCCGCGGCCTCCCTGGTTAGGGGCCACTAACCACTTGATACCGCACGAATACCACTTAAACACATGGGAAGACCCAGGGTTGACATTAAGTACACCCACACCAAGCGAGCCAGAACCTGGGACCCCCAAACTGAGCCACACTAACAAGGAGTGGGGCAAAATTATTTATCGCCATAGTACATATTTCAAATCACTAACATGGGAGGAGGAATAGCTACTCAGAACCCTACACACATACTGGATGTACAGATTACACTATATCCATACACTTTCTTCCTCCAAACAGGAGACTATGGCGATCTAGCGATAATTCTAATTAGAAGGATGTAACGTGGGAACTTACTTTCCTAATTTAAAATTGTGCAAAGTATTTCAATGCCAAATGTTTATTCATGTTTTCTGTTTGAAGCCTGAGACAGCTGTTGTGGCATCTCAAGCGACTATGTTAAACAAATGCGCAACAAAAATAAAGAATTATAAAAAAAAAAAATAATGAAACACACATTATACACTCTAAAGGGGAACAGGTATTTCACAAATAATAGAACATTAACCTTAAATTTAGCCATTAGATACGATTTTTGTATTACAGGGATCTATAGAGGAATAACTGCTCACAATGCAGATGTCATAGAACAGGACCAGAAACTCCAGCCTGCTTATAAAAAGTTGTAATCTGTTTCACAGTTATACAGATTAGATGGTTAGAAAAATACTGGTAGAATAGTTATCTTGCTGATGATTAAATACATAGGGTACTCCACGAAAGTAATATATTTCTAAAAAACATGTGGCTACAGCTGTACATCAGTCAAACAATCTAAAGAACCGCTTATTAGTGCAATAATCATGTTTTCCCATTGCAATTAAACATGCAGTTTTAGCCGTACAGTCTATTCCTGTTTCATATGGATTTAATTTATTTTAGTTTATCTTGCAAGAATGTTATTGAGGTTGAAGGGCTGGCAAATCAGGTTTCCATAGAGAATGTCTACCATTTATGGAAATAATGCTCCCCCTGAATAAAACTGGGATCCGAACAGAGAGGGAACATTCCGATAAATCATAACCGTTGAAACGGTTTGATAACATATATTTTCAAAACGCTACGGTTTATATTTTAGAAATATAGCTTTTCGCCAAACTATTCACTATACAAGCAGAACTATCACTTGAAAAATAAAATAAAATAAAAAAAGTTTTTTAATTTTTTTTGTTTTAAAAGTTCTTTCAAAGTTTCATAACAACTGTGCACAATTGAGTAAAAAATAAATAATTTTTTTTTTAAAAATACACAAGCACACACAACTCTGTAGCTGCAACTCATTCCCTCAGAGCTGTCAATCAGCCTGGAATACTCAGAGTGATATCAATTTTGTCCATGTACAACTTGAGCTGAGTTCTCTCTCCTCCCCAGAGAGAGAGCTGGGCAGTTTTTTTATAAAAACCAAAAGAAACCTGGACACATTTAACATTCAAGCTTCCTCAAACAGTTGTTGGGGACTAATTGGTACTAATGAATAATTACTGCCTGCCTGATATACTACACTGGGGAACGGGTACTACCTGCTGATGTGTTTGAACCATTCATTTGGAGGAACTGTGAGTAAGGTACATGTCCACTAAACAGTTAACTGTGTTACGTGAAAATAGAAAGCAGTTGCCATCAATATACTCATGTTATTGGGAACAACTTATCCCATAAACATCTGCTGGACAGGTATTTATGGGATAAGAATAGACTGTACAGAATGAGACTCTCCTGATTGAAGAAAGTCACTGTCTGGTGAAGGTGGAATGTCTTTTAATAAACAGTGGAAGTGCATTGAATATGGGAATTCTGAGCAAACTAGTGTGTTTTAGACTCACCTCTGTGTGCTGTTCATTTAACCCAAAAAGTGTGTCAATTGCTTTTTACAGAATGACAGTTTTGCCTCAACATCTCTCAATCCCAGTTTCTGGCTGCACTTACTTGAAGCTTTGGAGTCTGTCCTTAAGCGCCTCGGAAGAGATTTCTTCCAACATAAAGAATTTTGACGTCAAGGCATCAATGTGAGCTGTACAGACAAAAAAAAAAAGGTTATTTATTTAGGTATTTAACCTTTGCTCCTTCAGACATCCCTATGGATTTATCAGACAAAAACAGAGCAGACCCAGCGGCTGCTTGGCGGTTCTAAGACAAAGCGGTGGAGGGTTTCCAGGTAGATTTCTGGATATTTTACGTCAAATGTTGTTTAAAACGGGAAAATAGAAGTTGAACAGTTTTGGCCTAGAACTTCCAATTCCCTGGTCAAACCCAGACAATTCCTGGTTCAGTGACTAATACTATAGCTTTTATTCATTATACAGTTAATTGTGAACAAGTGAAAAAGAAATAGCAAAGTTGAAAAGCTGGAGAACGTTTCCAAATTGTCTATTTTGGCCTAAGATTTGTAATGTGAATTTCCGATGGAGAGGCCAGCCAGAGTGACGACTGGGAGACTAGTGGCTTTCCCTGTGAGGCTCGGTCACCAGGTGGGTTGGAGTATGGGCAGTTTCTGGGGTTGTGCCTGATAAAAGGTAGGAGGAAACTCAGTGAGTGCGAGGTCTTAAGTGAGAAAAAATGCCTCTGCATAGTGGCAGAGCTGCAGTTTTGTCACAACATGTTTGGGTTTTCCTACTTTTCCAAGCCTGCAATGCCTTAACTTTACATCACGTCTGACTGTTTTCAGAATTCTTAATCCATTGTTGCCATAACACCAAGGGCAATAGTTATTAAACTGTATAGGGGGGGTGAAATGAAACCAAAAAAATAAATTAGAAGCCAATTTGGAAGAGAAATCGCTGCAATAATCACAACCTGGCTATTTAAGTCCAACATTTGCAATTTGATGCATATTGAATTAAGCCGTAATAAGAATAATAGAATCATGCAGACTATACCCATTTCTTCAAACACCTTGTGTTTTTATTTTCTCTAACACTTGCCGGTTGCCATTCATTGTGATTTCCTGAGTCAGTGGTTTGCATAGAACCTTACAGTCCAAGTCAAAGTTCACTGAAGAGCTATTTAGCTAAAACTGTGATGCATCATACCCCCACCCTTCTTTCCTTGGTTTCCCTAGCAAATATAAACTATTTCAAAACATCTGTGGTACTATTGGTACTTCCCCAGACAGCTGCAAACTGTCTGATGGGTGAGTCAGACTGAGCTGGCAGGAACAAGCATACATCTGCTTCAAACATTTCTGTTTCTGAACAGGACAGATCCAACTCGCCAAGTACTGCAGTCACCCCACTTGCCTCCCAAAATCACCTCATCAGGATTATTAGCAGTTATTTCTACAACAAAGGCGGCGGTGCTGCAAACGTTGGAGAGAACGTGCCATAAAAACTGTTTCCATTGTGATATCTCCTATATAGAAATTTGCACCATTTTTTTAAATGACAAAATTGTCAGGTTTATGCACTAAAGCATGAATTATCCAGAATTTCAAGTACATTTTTAATTTTATTCCACATCAGCTGAAGTGGAAAAAAATTATCCCAGCCAGCTCAGCGATTTGGGCGTAACATGTGAAATTTACACTTTTGGCAAATAACCCTGTGTCCCTATTGAAGAAAGGACATCATAGCCAAAGCAGGTTTGTCAGACAAACCATACGTTTTGAGCATCCTGGCAGCAAGATTCACGTTTTAATTCTTGATTTTATCTCCTATTTAAACTAACAGCGTGCGTATTGCAGGTAGTCAGTCATCAGTCGCACCGACTTTCACATTTTCTGATGATATTTATGTTACAGAGTTAGTTACAGAGGCATGGAATAGTTTTGCTTCTTGACACCTTAGTGCTATATTAGATCTGCGATGCTGAAGAAAATGAAAACAAAGGACACAAAATAATAAAATAAAAAGTGCTGCATTATCTATTAATCATTTTTCCAAAATTCGGTAAAAAAAAACAAAAAAAAAAAAAACACAAAGAGGATTTCACCAGCACCGTGGCAATATCACGCTGTGGATTCAGCCCTTGAATTTTGCTGTATTTCTAAGCCATTATTTTAGCACTATAAATTGCACTGAATCAGGTGTTAAAATTGGAAATAAAGGACAGTATAAAATACAGGAGCAAGCTGAATATGTACAGCCATGGCGCGAATTGTAACAGTGAATCATTTCCAGTTAATCTTTAAATACAGGGTAGTTGCCAGCATGTTGCTGAACTCTCTCCATGAATTGGTTAATTGTATCCCTCTTTCTCCACAAACTGCACACAAAAGATATTCAATGAGCGAGGGAGTAGCAGGGAGGGGCACAGCCATGACAACGGGAAACAAAAACAGACATTTCTTCCCAGAACAGGAAATCAAGGTAGGAGGAGAGATGGGTGAACCGGATGAGTGTGTGCGGTTGCTATGGTGTGACTCACACAGTATTAGAAGTGGTGTCCTCTCGTATTCCCTAAGTGGGCAGAGAAATAATGCAGCTAAAAATTAAAGAAAGTTCTGTCAACGGATTTAGAAGATCAACCGGTCCAGAAAGCATCAAAAATGCAAGCTCTGTGATATGACAGGTGACATCACTGAAACTATGAATACGAGATTGTGCATTCCATTGTGGAGTTATGTTATTAAAAAGAAAATCACCTCGGTGATTTGAAGTGGTCATGGTGCCTGGAGTCTAAATAGGGTTTAACTCCTTTTCTGCTAGAGCTGTAACTCCCCATGTGGCAGGGTCATCTGGGCAACAGAGGGGGTGTAAGTGCAGCCATTGGCTATTTGGTGCTGCCATGCTGTGCGTGCTGGCGTCAGATGCCAAATTTGCACATAATTCACAATAGCCATCCCAGAAACATTGTTCCGGGCTAGCTAGTGATGTCCCGATGACATAGTTCCAGGTGGAGTTGCACCTTTGGCAGCAGGGAGGTTAAACTCTATTTGTGCAGCTTTTCATAGCAAAATGCTGCACATCCAGACTCCAGGCACCATGACCACTTCAAATCACTGACATGGTTATGTTGCTTGGAGTAACCCTACTACATTTAAACTGAAAATTCTATTTCTAAGTAGTTAATTAATTAAGGTGTAAAAAACAAACAAAAAAAAACAAAAAACAAACAATGATCTTTTTCTCTTCTGAAGCCCTTGAAATCCTAAAACCTGTAAAGTCAGCAAGTGTTAAGGCGGCTTGCACTGACAGGTTGTTCACACACAAAGATCTAGACCACACATGCTCTACCCCGAGAGGGTGCCCAGAAATCAGTCCCACCCTTTGAAACAATTAACAGAGAACTTTTTGTTTGACTTTAAAAGTTAAGGAACAAATCAGAGATGAAGGGTTCCGTCTGAAACTGATAAGAATTTTATTCTCAGACAACTATTCACTAAATTTGGAAAAATATGGGTAGCAAATTTTTATGGAATTTTCCCCTTTATTTTGATATAAATGTGCAATTCCATTGTCAATCGCCAAGAACACCAACTAAGTGAAAACCCAACAGTTTCTTACTGCGTCATTTTGCGAGGTCTACCACATTAACCCCTTAAGGACTGTGCCAAATGTACAAGTTCTGATCAAAACATGGAATTTGCGCTACATGTCTGTCCAACCGTAATTCACCTCTTTCATATTAAATGCACCCACACTTATTATATATAATTTTATTCAGGGGAAACAGGGCTTTCATTTAACATCAAATATTTAGCTATGAAACATAATTTAATATGAAAAAATAAGATTTTTTACAATTTTCTTAGTTCTACGTGACATTTTAACTGTGAATGTGAAAATACGGTTTGCTTTTACTGCAATAAAGTACACATATTTGTATTCAGCGATGTCTCACGTGTAAAACAGTACCCCCAATGTGCAGGTTTTATGGTGTTTTGGGAAGTTACAGGGTCAAATATAGCATGTTACACTTTTCAGTTTTTTCACATTGAAATTCGCCAGATTGGTTACGTTGCCTTTGAGACCATATGGTAGTCCAGGAATAAGAATTACCCCCATGATGGCATACCATTTGCAATAGTAGACAACCCAAGGTATTGCAAATGGGGTATGTCCAGTCTTTTTTAGTAGCCACTTGGTCACAAACACTAGCCAAAGTTAACGTTAATATTTGTGTGTGAAAAATGCAAAAAACTAATTTGAACGCCAATTTTGGCCATTGTTTGTGACTAAGTGGCTACTAAAAAACACTGAACATACCCCATTTGCAATACCTTGGGTTGTCTACTTTTGCAAATGGTATGCCATCATGGGGGTAATTCTTATTCCTGGACTAACATATGGTCTCAAAGGCAACGTAACCAATCTGGCGAATTTCAATGTGAAAAAACTGAAACGCAAGCCTTATATTTGACTCACTTTTGAAAACACCATAAAGCCTGTACATGAGGGGTACTGTTATACTCAGGAGACTTTGCTGAACACAAATATTTGTGTTTCAAAACAGTAAAAAGTATTACAGCAATGATATCGTCAGTGTAAGTGCAGTTTGTGTGTGAAAAATGCAAAAAACTTCACTTTCACTGACAATATCATCGTTGTAATACATTTTACGGTTTTGAAACACATATTTGTGTTCAGCGATGTCTCCCGAGCAAAAAAAGTTATAGGGTTAAATATAGTGCTATCAAATAAAATTCCCTATACTTTCGGCCTGGGTTGTCAGGCAGGTCCCGCAAATTGTAATTAATAAAAGGACCTAATTCTGTAAAATTATCTCACACACACACACATATACATATACATATATATATATATATATATATATATACATACATATCATTTTTTTAAATAATTTTTATTTATATATATATATATATATATATATATATATATATATATATATATATATATATATATATATATATATATATATATATATTTTAGTTTTACGTGTATTTGATATCTATATATATATATATATATATATAGTAATATCAAAATACAGTTAGAACGAAATTACACACATATATTTTTTATTTATTATTTATTTTTTAATATTTACATATTTTATCATATATAAATATATATACATTTTATCAATATCATTCTACGAGTGTTTTGATAATATATTTGTATATAATTAATATATATTAATATTAAAATACACAGACAGTGTATGTGTAAATGTGTGTGTGTATTATATATATATATATATATATATATATATATATATATATATATATATATTACATATACATACACACACACACACACACACACACTTCGATCATATATATGATCTAAGTATATTTTATTTGTAACTTTAATTTATTTTATTTTTAACCTAAGAGGTTAAGAGGGGAGGAGAGGGACAGAGACAGTGTCAGCCAGTGATTTCACATCACTGGCTGACACACAGGATCAGTGATCACAGTGACTGGCTGTCACAGTGATCACCTCCTGCAGATCGCGGTAATTGGCCACAGAGGGAGTGCCTGGGTGGCCAGGCATGCCCCCCACCATGATCTGCAGGGGGATCCTGCCTGTAGTTACATGTGTCAGCCAATAGGCTGACACATAGTAACTCTAATCGCAGTGACAGGCTGTCACTGCAATCAGATCGCAGTGAGAGGCTGTCTCTGCGATCAGATTGCAGAGACAGCCTGTCACTGCGATCAGACTCTGCAGATCGCGGTCACTGACTGCAGAAGGACTGCCTGGGGGGCCAGGCATGCCCCCCGACCTCGATCTGCAGCAGGGTAATGCCGCCGGCCACGTGGGCGGCAAGGACGCCCAGGACGTTCTATGCGATCCTGCGGTATTTAGAGCCACCCCCTTAAGGACGGCATAGAACGTCCTGCGTCCTTAAAGGACCACTACTCGTTTTCCTGGCACTATAGTGCCCTGAGGGTGCCCCCACCCTTAGGGACCCCCTCCCACCGGGCTCTGGGGGAGGAAGGGGTTAAACTTACCTCTTTCTCCAGTGCCGGGCGGGGAGCTCTCCTCCTCTTCGGTTGAAAGCGCATGTGCAGCAAGAGCCGTGCGCGCATTCAGCCAGTCCATAGGAAAACATTCTCAATGCTTTCCTATGGACGCTGGCGTGCTCTCACTGTGAAAATCACAGTGAGAAACATGGAAGCACCTCTAGCGGCTGTCAATGAGACAGCCACTAGAAGCTGGATTAACCCTAAGGTAAACATAGCAGTTTCTCTGAAACTGCTATGTTTACAGCAGAAAGGATTAATCCTAGATGGACCAGACACCCAGACCACTTCATTAAGCTGAAGTGGTCTGGGTGCCTATAGTGGTCCTTTAAGGGGTTAAAGGAACACAGTAAGCCCTGGAAACTATTGATAATACATAAAATTGGTACAGTGAGGTCCCCAAAGCCACATTTACCAGTAAAGGGACACTCCACTGCCCCCCCAAAAAAAAAAAAGTGCTTGTTTAGTAGATATACCCCAAATGAAAACATGAATGCATTTATTTATGCACGGTTTAATTGCAGGTAGATCTAAAAACATTGTGTAAAAGTTGCAGATCTCTTGCCAGAAGCCTAGCTTGCCCTTCAGTTAGTCCCATCTCAGTGCCCAAAAATGTGTTTTCTCACTTGTGCCATTACAAAGAGAACCTATACGATTTGCGTATCAAACGGATCCCACACATAAGGGCAGTCAGGCACTGTAATGCCGGCAAGTTCTCTCTACATGATAGATACAGACGTGGAACCCATGCTTACTCTGCCCAGAGGGGTATCAACTACACCTCGCTGACGAGACCCAAAGAAGGCAGAAATGATCTGCTGTATCTCTCGTGCACAAAGAACTTGCTGGCATTTCACTTCTGGACTGCCCTGATGGGTGGGATCAGTATGATATGCAAATGGTTAAGGTCACTCCAGAGTTTGTGGACTACATCTCCCATGATGCCAGGTTGCCAACACAATTGAAAATGAGGAGAGTGTGGCCCCCACAAGGGGGAGACTTAATGATATATGTGCATCAATAGCACCAAAATGAAATACTTGACAGCTAAAAAAGCTTCCCTCCAAGTTCTATACTGTATAGGAGGAGGTCTGATGTCCCGCAGTTCAAGATATTGTCACATGTATCCAAAAAATTAATAACTTTATATGATTCTATACAATAGGATACAATGTGATCTATCATTGGGTGGCAAACAAAAATATAATAGAAAGCCTCTGCCTACTCTTTCCCCATCAAATGGTCTCAGACAGCGATAAAGAAATATACATGGTTGGGTTACAACTTATTAGGCTTCTAAGATCAAATACTAGGGAGATATATATATATATAGGATAGGGGTAGATCCACTAAATGGTAAATATAGGCTGTATCCTCCTGTGGCTACATGCAAAGACAGAGCAGCAACATGAGTAGTAATTAGGTGATGTGACAGGAGTTGCTACAACAGGGTAGTATATGCAGTATCAGTGCTTCTATAATGTTTTCTCTTATCCCTTAGGGAGAAACCAAAAACAAATGCCTTAATTAACACCTATAATTAGGATATTAGCAGGGAACCTTCCCACTTTCAATATAAATAGAAGGAAAGTAAAAAGAGAAAAGAAAAGAGGGTGGCTTCCATACAATTACTCGAGTGACTACTGAATACTGCTATTAATCCCTAAGTCTCCTGGAAAAACACCTTTGAGGGTGTTCTATTCTAATGCTCCCTCTATGGTTTATTACTCCCAGTATGCTCAGCCATCCAGTACATCAACTATCAGTAAAAGAACAAAAAAAGAGAAATATCTAATAAGGGGTACTAAGTACCCGTAAGGTGCATAGTGTATAGTGCTCCATTGGGGAGAATATTAAAATCAGAGAAATAACCCGACGCGCGTTTCGGTGTAATGACCTTCACCTTCGTCAGGTTGCCAACACCTGAACATTTGCATGCCTTTTTATTTCATTTGAATTTGTTTTTGATATTCTAGATTTCTGTTGATATTCATGAATTCTCACTTGACTTGCTATGTCATCCACCTTATCTGAAGACGTTTATTAAAAAGTGGGCATTTTTTGCTTTAAAAAAAAACAAAAAAAAACAAAACGGCAGGCGCCTACTCTGCTTTTGTGTCGGCAGGACCCGGAAGCAGGAGGAGGGATTTGGGAAGCAGCTCTCCTGTCCTCCCGCGAGCAGGCTGTGTGGAACGTTGCCGTGCGTTACCATGGCAACGTGCCACAGCATTTTGCGTGTGGGAGGACAGGAGAGCTGCAGCCAGAACCCGTCCTACATACTTACCACCACCTGACCACCAGGGCTGGCTGAGTCTCCCCCTCCTTCACCAAAGGTAAGAAGAAGGTAGGTAAAATAAAGATTTTAATAATACATTTGCTACCTACAGCACCCCCCCACACCACACCACACCACACCCTCTCCCCACACACCACACACCACACCAACCAAATCCCCATATTTATTCTTTGATAGGCAATTTAGAAGCCTTCTTTGTGTTGTATTTTTTGTAGTCTGAGTGCGCTGCAATTATTTTTTTCATCTATGGCATAATGAGATCACAAAGTTAGGAATGGGTCACTCACCAACATAAAGCAAGCTCCCTGAGTTCAGGACGCTCTCAGTCCACAGACGACAAACCTCACTCTCTGTCAGTCTCTCGACACCGTAACAGTACTGATAGTCCATCTTTGCCAAGATAAGGATAGGGAGGTGCTGAAACAAGACAGAGTTTCAATCATAAGCACTAAGACGTAGGATACGTAGGTTAGGCTACTAGAAATAAATTTAATTAGTAAATAATTAGGTAAATATAAACAGAAAATGTGTGTGCGCGCGCATGTTAGCCCACATCTGGAAAATTATCGGTTTCCAATAAACTATTACTATGTTACCAGGACACCATGGAACCTACAATGCCCCATCATATCCTCCAATCACAAGGATAGAATTGCTCACACCCTGTCCTTCTCTGACCACATGTGCATGGGTGAGAGGGCAATATATAAAAAGGAGAGCAGCTGGCAGTTACCCACTCCATCCCCATGACAGAGATTTATATTAAATAACGAGCTAGGAATATCCATGTGCTAAAACATCCTTAGAGCAAGGGACTCATTAATAGTGCCAGGACTGGTGCTGGACTGGGAAAAACAGTGTCCAGTCCACGCACCTAAATTATACAGGAATCTTCCCTGACCTTTACCTTTCAGAAAAAAAAAAAAAATCTAGTGTCCAGTAATCTAGCCTTCTCTCAAGGATAGTGTGGTTACCTAATGAGTGTTTTAGGACTGCCCCTGGCTGTATGTAGAATCCAATACCTATAGCACGCTCTTTTGCAGCTCTTGATGGTGTTAAAAAAAAAACAACAAATAAACACAACATGAGTGGTGATGCATAAGTATACACAGTGGTGTCATATAGTGGTATCCTACAAACCTCATCTGTGAAGGGGTTTGTGAGCAATACCCGCTTCTTCCCCAAAAAAGAGGGGGAAGGCAGGGATTTTTTGAGAATTCTGAGCCACTTCTTCCTTCATGAGAAGCTGTATAGATAAGCATTGTTCCTCCCATGCCTATTTTATCAATTTAGTATTGCATAAAAAGAGGACCGAAGGGTGTTTGGGCGTTTCCTGAGCACCAAACTTAGGGCAGCTCATTAATATTTATAGAATATGGCGCTATATCACAGGCGTTCAAAAGTGTCAACTGCAAATTAAGATTTCCAAGATGACAAATTAAAGAGCAGAGTAAATAGATGCCTAAGACACTCTCACATATATCTAATTAATCAAACACAATGTATCGCATTATCCATGATCACATGGACATACCAAACTAGCCATAGTCAGAGGTAGCCAATCACTCTCACAAATATACACGCAACACAAAATCTCTCTGGAAAGTCTCACTTTTGTGTTACATGGTGCAGTGGATTTATTGAGCTAGGAATTAAACTCTTGCCTGCTGTAATGTAGGCAAGAAAACAAGGTTGCATTATTTATACAGACAATAATTCGACCTCAATGCTCTTCTAATCACAGTCTGTTTGGTGGACACTTGATTCTGCAGAGAACATTTTAATATATACTTGTTCGTCAAGTCTATAAAACATTTGTCATTGTAGAGTGAAAATCCTACCTTTCGGATGGCTTTGGCTTGAGTCCGTACTCGATTAGAGGCTCTGTGAATTCTACTCCGTATAAGCAAAAGCATGTCATCAAGGCTGAACAATTTGTACGTACAATTATCATCTGGCTGACATGTGTACTCAGTCGGATCGTCTTTGGACGTTAGCAGATCAGTGGGAAGTAAGGCTAGAGCAAAATGATATAGAGTAGGTGTTAGCAGATCCCAAGGTCATTCTAAAGCAACAAATTAAACGCAAGACTCATTGTAAATAAGAGTTCGCTTGAAAGAATTGTTCACATATTAGCCAATTGTAAAATATAGCCTTTTATTTTTTTGTTAAATATATCATGTAGCAGCAAAACTAAAATGAGGGTCATGTATCAAATTTGCTGTCAAATCAAGTGGGTTTTAATACACAGTAGCCCAACCAGGCTTGGCGATGGCACTTACGCTTTCGATCTGGTGGAACATGCAATGTCTTCTTAGGAGTGTCTTCAACTGGTTCTGCCACGGAGTTGATGATGGGCAATGCCGCAGGCAACTGCCCACTTCTCTCTTGGTTTAGTGCATTGGGTTCTTGCATCTTTTTTGCCCCTGGTTTAAGGAGCTGGGTCTGCATCTTCAGTATTTGACCCACAGGATCAAACTCTTTGGAAAGTCTCCTGGCAGATTGCTTGGGGAGCTTCTGGGATTCTTGCACGTGAGAGTGGGGTGGAGATGTCAGAACACTGTTCTCTGAATAAGAATTAAGCGTTTTGCTACAATCCATTTTATTTTCATCACCAACATCAATGACAAGTTGCTCATCTTCAGAGTCACTGCAGATCTGGCCCTTTGTGTAGGATTGCTCTTCAGTTTCCAAAGAGATATCAGATTTTGAATTAAAGGTCTGCTCTTCTGTGCTCCCCTCATCCGAGCATGAATCTTCTCCATCCTTCTCCCTCTTTCTCTTAGAGTCCTTGAGCTCATCGGACTCAAATCCTTTAAAAGAAGATGTATCTTCTGAATCTGACCAGAGGAAATTAATAGCAGAGTTAGTTTTATTCTCAGGAATTACTCTCTCTTTATCATCTTTATTTTCTTGATTGGTACTATGGATAATTTGTTTCTCCATCATTAATTTGTTCATGAGGGACTTCTCTAGAGAGATTGAGATGGGTTTAGGAGTAGGCTCAGATTCCACAGGTTGAGATGCTCTGTAAGAAATATTATTGGTTCCAAAGGTTTCCAGCTCAGTCACATCATTTTCAAAATCCAATTCCATGTTGTCACTTGTATTCTGCGTTCTGGAAAAACTGTCCTCGTTGCAAGTCTAAAATGTTATGGTCGGAGAAGGAGAGTGGGTACAGAAATGAGGGGAGGAAACAAGATAGACAAGGTGGAAAGAGGAAAAAAAAAAAAAAAGAGCCAATGAGCAAAATCCAACAAAAAGAGCATTCCTATAAACAGTTGAAAAAACTACTTCACAGTTATCAGTTTTATATCTATATAATGTAATAAAATAATAAAAATATTTTAAAAAAAGGTAGAAGCTGGGGAAATAAGCAAGTCTGGCAGGAGCAGGATTTATTCTCCCTATTGAAAAAGGAACCTAAAAATGATTGATCCTTTCGCAATTCCACTGCAACGGTAAAGTATTTTTTTACATTCTTTTACAATATTTTTCTTTTCTTTTTTACTTGTGCTATTGTCCAGTGCTATTCATGTTAAGCTAGTGAGATAGCCTAGTGGTTAATGCACCATACTTGGCGTCACTGCTTATGTATCCAGCAGTGTCATCGTAGCAGTTTAATGTTCTGAAGTTGGTAAAAGGAGTAGCAGAAATAGTAACAACTGCCAAATCAGCTGCGGTTTTGAGTAACTGGACGTAAAGCACCTTGTGCACTCTAGGGGGAGGAAATCCCATCTAAAAACATACAGAAAAAAATAAATAAATAAAAATTGCACAACTACCTACACGGGATTCTTTAGGAATTCAAAGATAATTTATTTCAAATATTGGGTCATGATAGAGCTGACTTTCTTAATTTTTCTAAATTGGCTACTTTGGCCTACGTTTTTAAATTCACTTTGAATTACACTAATTTTTCTTGACTTGACAATTCTCAACATTCACACTTTAGTGAAAAAAAAAAAAAAAAAAAACAACTTAAATTAAGAATAATAGGAAGGAACAAAAAAAATGACATGAGTAAGCAAGACCCTGGGAAATGTTAATGATTGGGATTTAGGAACCATTAGATCAACTTAAGGAAGGACGTTTTCTCCAGGTCTCAATCTCTAGAGGCTCCAACTAGAATATATTTGTTTTTTGCATCTGCATCTAATTTGCTTTTGACAAACACTGAAGTAGGGGACAACATGGTATCTGTAACTGAGAAGGATGTGACAAATAATAAACATGACTGGCAATCATGTAGAATGTCAGTCAGCAGCCATTAAACTCAGGATATTATGGAACTGGAAAACTGCAAAAGGTGTGCTACAAAATGAATAGTGTGAATGGATGGTTTCAGTTCAATTAAAGGCCAGAAAGCTGCATTTGATTACTTCAGGGAAAATAAAAATAAGAGTATCAGAAAGGAGAGCTGGGCTCTCAGTTTCCACTCAGCACAAGCCATTTGAGAGTGAATATTTAGCCATGGCAAGTAGACATTCACCCTTGGCCCTGCAAGCACTGAATGTAAAAGAACTAATACAAACAGCTATTTAGTTATATGTTAATCTGCGATTCCACTCCTTCCCTACATCTCCCGTCATCCGTGTCAGTGTCTCATGGCCTCCATATACAGATATATTGGTCCTCTTATTCTTCCTATATATAGGGTGGGCCAAAATTTAGAGTAGGGCTTGAGGAGTCAATAACTTTTTATTAATGAACCCATTTTAATGATATTGCATACAGTGAAAGCTTAGCATACAGAGATTTGTTTGACTAGGTACGGAAGATGCCATCTTTTAAATGAGCTCCATTTTCCACCTCACAAAGTTGGGCTCTTTCGACTGCACTGTTTATAACATTAGTTACTGTTTGAGGCTCTAGCGCTCGAATTTCTACACGGATATTCTCCTTGAGCTGCTCTCGTGTACACGGTTTAGTCACGTACACCCCTCCACTCCTTCAGATATCCTCACACCCGCCCCTTCAGATATACTCACAGGAAGTAATCAGTAGCTGAAAGGTCAGGCGATACTGGTGGCTAATTAATCTGGGAATTTCTTGAAATTACCAGCTCTCAGTTTTGAAAACAAAATTCCACTATTCTTACTTGTTTCTCTGCGAAACTACCCATGATGAATCTCCCAAGACTCAGTTATAATATCTAATACCTTCATATAACTGTTCTATGTCCATCTCTGTTCTTCAGGCTTCATCTCACACTCATACTCACTCATAGGAACAGTGATTGTGATGCTCTGCATTTAACATCCTGCAGCAACTCCCACAGCGCCATGGTACTGACTGTAGCTTGGAAGATATTTCACCTCATTTATGCTTACATTGCTACTATGTTACTATAGAAAGGTTTCCAATTATACCTGTAGTTTGCCACTGTAATTTTCTGTGCATGCAGTTTTTATCATTGTCGTTTAATGTTTCTGACCAATATTTCATGTACACAGTTATTAATATTTTGGGTGATAGAATTTGGTTGCAAAACATTTCAACACATTGCTACTCTACCCCTTCCCTCCCCTATGCTCCTCCTGGCTGTAAATACCTCCATCTCTGTTCTTCAGGCCTCATATCACACTCATACTCACTGATAGGAACAGTGATTGTGATGCTCTGCATTTTTTATTTATTTTTTTTCCTCACCACTTCCCACCCACCCAGGTTCCCCCTAAATATATAAAATGCTCCTCCAGCTGTTTGAGATTCTCACTTCATTCCCTTTACAATTTACCAATATCTGCTTCTCTCTGTTAACTCTTTTGGCCATTACCTCTAAATTCCCCCTGCTACCTTTTGTCTCAAATCCCCACGGTATCCTTTCGCTTATAAATTCATGGGCTATCTACCTATGCACTTTGTATAAAATAGCTTTGATGGCTAGTTATCAGCTAAGGGACAGGGCTCTCTTGCCTCTTGTATTTGTCTGTGTATATTGTATGTTCTCCACTAATTGTACAGCCCTGCGGAATCTGTTGGTGCTTTATAAATACTAGTAATAAATAAATACATAAAAACAAAAACTACTAAAAAATAAGTTATTTCCGTGTCAAATCCAACTCTGAATTTTGGCCCACCCTGTACTTTCTACAGTGGTTGGTGTCCATCAGGAGCTAGGAGACCGTTAAACACACACAGGAAGCACAATTTTAATGTAGAATTTTCTCAGATTATCATTTGCCATCCACAACTATAAAAGAATAATCCAGAACTAGTCTGTGCCAATTCCAACAAACCACACCTAATCATTTCCAACAGTAATTTTTCCTGAAACACATTTTTCTTGAATGTTTTCCTGTATCCCTTAAACACAGGCAGTACAAACTCTTCCTAAAACTGCAACATCCCAGCCTCTTCTACAAAGTCCCACTGCCTTTATTGTACTCAATGCTCGATGACACGGTACCTACGTCTCAGGTCACCTAACCTGACTAGGGCTAAGAAGAAAACTTCAACCAACCTATTATAGAGAATTAGCAAAGCACAACATAGTGAGGTTAGTTGGAGAAAATTGAAAAAACCCAATCTGTTTTAGCATTGAGATTTTATCGTACACTGATCTCAGAACAGCTACTGAATACCACAGTGCAAAATCAAGCATATACAGACAAGTGGGTTGGGTTTGTTTTTCCCCTCAAAACTGTAGTTTTTGCTGAGTCCACATAACCCAATGCTGACACTCTGGTGGTGTTCAATAGAAGCGGTGTGCATATCTCATGAAGCTCTGTGGTTAAAGAATATGTAGTTCAGCCCTGTACCAAATGAGGCAAAACCATCGGGCTTTTGCCATTTTGGAATGCAAAATGTGGATTCTGCTCACGCTATTCAACAATATCTGGACTTTGCAATTTACACACTAAACGCACCTGAAACTGGTCCTGATTTTCAGCAGGGCCGAACACTGCCAGACAGCTAAAACCCAGACGGTATGCTTCAAACCCTGGCCCGGATATAAAATAATCTCAACTATTTGCCCGCTGGCAGTGCCAGGAGACAAGTAGTTACAAACCCTCATCAGTGCAAGGGTTAATCCTGTAGTCGTTGGCTAGTTACATTAATTAGTCAAAAAGCCCACCATATTACTATACTATAATATGCCCCCACCTACCACATGCATGCCTACAAAAAGGTTAGAGACTGGGCAGCCATTATCGCTAGAAAGGCTCCGTCCTGAGCGATGGAGCCTGTTAAAGAAAAGGGGGTGTTGGATTACTGTTCACCCACAGCTAGCGGCTTATAAAAGAAGGGGGGGGATTCCTAATGTTAACGGGAGGAGGACCTTGTAAGGCACCCTAGTATCCCCTCCAATCCCCACATATGGGTTTTAAATAATTAAACAATCGGGGAGGAAAGAAGGTGTGGAATTGACATTGTCCACTCCTCCCTCCCAACTAGTGGCATGTCCACGTCCAGCCCCTTTATCCTTCTATAGTTTACAAGCCGGGTCCTCAATCCCAGCTTGTAAACCATCCAACCTGGGTACGCTTACTGATGTTGCACGAGTGGGGAATTTTCTAACGCGATATAATAGCGGACAGTGTGGGAAAGCCTTTATAAAGGGCAGAACTCAGTTTCTGGCGAGCACTCATGGGGGCGAAGATAGATTCATTTTATTGTGTGGTTTTCCAATTTTTTGTGTCAGGAGTTATGGATTTTTTTAATTTGGTCTTGATTAGAAACAGAATTATGGTAAGCATGGTTTTACTTTACTTGCCCCTCTCCCCTCCTCCCGCCACCCCTCATTATTATTTTGGTGAGGGTGGTAGGTAGGCTTATTCAATTATAATATGGGATGGCACGTCCATTTATTTGGAGCAGCGATCTTCCGTCCATGAGTGGGGCAGCGGACCCTTGCCCATCCCTTTGTATATTATAATTAGGGCTATCACCCACTGACCACAGATGGGTGTGGGAGGTTAGGATGTGCCTTCCCTTTTCTTTTATTGAATAGCCCCCACTGCTGGCTTATTTAAAGTCTGTTACCCATTGCCCATGGTTGGGGGCACAGGAGCTGGACTATGATCTGTCCATCCCCCTGTTATTTAGCAGAGCTACTTTTTAAACTTTTATTATAGATGATCCCACCTGTTGCATGGCATGTGGTGCCAGAGGGAGGTTTTAAATCTTCCTTATATTAATATAGACCTGACCCCCAGAGGCTTTATTTTTTTAATTTTTTAACTTGTTTAATGTAGCGGCCGACTAGAAAGCGCTGTCCAGCTGACACATAATTAACCCTTACATTGCTGAGGGTTATTAAACCTATGTATAAGAACTGTAGAGTGGACGCCAATCAACCAAGGTAAATCTAAATTGTTATTCAAAATAAAACATTCAAAAGGAATACTTTAAAAAAAAAAAAAAAGTAAGAAAAACCCCCCAAAAAACAGACACTTGTCATTTACACTGTACACAATGTATAACCCTTAAAAAGCCACAAATTGGGGGAGGGGGCTGCAGGGGCGGAGCTTGTCACACTCCGACACTTTGCCACACAATCTGCCTAAACCACAGAGCATCCTGCTCATCCACTGGCTACCTGCAGATGCCCTTCTTTTCAACTCCAGGCACAAAAATCTGAACTGAATCTGAACGCATGGGCGGACTGCTGCGGGAACTTACTGAAAGACCCGGACGTGTCAAGCATACCCGCCCCCCTTGGCTTGCAATAACAAAGAAAAGTAGTCAGTCCTTGTGGCTTCTACCTCTGTACCTCCCCATAGCTTTTCTCTCGTTAAACAGGAGGTCATTCTATCACCACACTGAGGTTCCGAATAACAATGTATTGATACCAATGCTGAAATGCTGTGGGTCTCCTCCGAAACAGTATATTTCACTGAATGTACAAGGTTTTTATTGCACCTTGTTATTACCCAACTTTAATGATGTTATCACTACCCTTAACGTCTTTTCTTTATTCTGTACCCTGCTACCTTAACTACCAAGAAATGTATCTAAATAAAACATTTATGAAAAAAATAAAAATAAAATAAAAATAAAATAAATTATAATATATATATATATATATATATATATATATATATTATAATTTATTGGCAATTATAAATAAACAATCATGAATTGGCTACAATAAACGTTAATAAAGAGAGCAAGGTAAATATTCAGTGTATATCAGAGGAGCCATCTAGTGGTTTAAACCCATAGTACAGAGTTTCTTCCCCTCTATACAGCTCAACCCAGATTCCAAACATTGATCTTGCTTGGATATAGCCAACAATCTGTCATAGATATCAGAGAGTCACACCCATCCGCATAAAATCAATTTCTCAAATTGCCACCTAGCTATTTCAGCTATCTCAGTGAATCTATGGCAGATGAAGTAGTATAGCTTGGGGGGGTGGGTGGAGGGCAAATGGGTGGTTTCAGATACATCTACTAAATATAGTGAAATGATCATATCTTACATTTCATCTCAAACGGGGCTTAATCATAGGCTATCTGCTTCTCAATCATCTATATAGTACTTCTGATCAACTACCACCTATTCTTGGACTACATTTCTATCCTCCATAACACTGGACACCAGCCTGGCTCTTTCAGAGTTTGTAAAAGAGAGTAAACTTCTTGCCTTTCTAACAAATTAAGCTACATTGTTTGGTTATTTTAGAATATGTTCAAAATTCCACAATTACATTTAAAGAGGCACTGTCACTGTCTGGGGACTTTGTAGAATTCGCAAAGACCCTTGATGGTGACATCACTGCTGGGGGTCTTGTGGCAGGGAAGGAGGCAGGTTAAGGTGAGACTGTGAGATCCTCCATAGGCAGAATCAATTCCGTGTAGCCATCACTGGTGACGGCTGGGGATTGACACTTCTAGACAGTGGTAGCTCCGCCAAGTGTCTACAAGTGTCAAGAGGAAATATACAGCGACAAAGTAGTCCCTACTCTGTCTCAGTATCTCTCTTATACTGTCAATATGAGATTTTTATAAAGATTCTAGATTTATGAAATACTCATTTTTCAAACCATTGATGATATAAAGGACAATAAGAGAGCTAGAATGACACGTACGTGACAGCTCAATTAACAGCAAACTGCTTTCAGAAAAAGGGTCTCTCTGCTTTTTGATTACAACTAAACCCATCAAAACATGTTGAGGCATGAAAGACGGCATTAAAACATCACATTCAATTAAATGCAATGCTTCATAATATTACCTCTCTTCATTTCACAACGTATCGGACACATGGTCAAAGTACTGCAAATTCACTAGTAAGTTTGAATGGACTTTAAAGACTGCTTGTGCAGTGCAGATCTCCTTGAAGGGACACTCCATGCACCCAGACCACTTAGAAACATAGAATGTGACGGCAGATAAGAACCATTTGGCCCATGTAGTCTGCCCAATTTTCTAAATACTTTCTGTAGCGGAGCTGCAATGTTAAATCCCAATCTCTCCGCTGGTACAGAAAGTGATCCAAGTAAAGCGCTGGACATGAAGGCAATATCCCAAATCCCCCAGTAACCGGAAGAAACCCAGTTCTGGGAGTCAACTGACAATTTTACTCACAGCTCCAGTATTTATGTGATTCCCCATGCAAGGGGTTTCCTTAGTCACTTTACAGGGGTTATACAGTAGAGGACTACATGGGGAACTGAATATACAGGGCATTTCTCCCACCATGCACTGCTGTACGAGAGGGATACTCCCACTAGAATACCCTGTTAAGTGGATTATCCCTCCGTACAACAGAACCGACTTTTTACACGAAAATGCATAACTTTAATATTATACATAGGATTATACCGAATGACCGTTCGGTAGATAGCTGGGGTCTGAGCGCACACTTTGTGAAAGTACCGCTCAGATCCCAGCATAAATAACCGAACGCCGCACGAAACACACGTTATATAAAATTCACCTTAAAAATACCGAATACACATGGGGGAATAAAGTACTGAAGGACTGGTGCTCCTGAACGGCCTGGAAGTCCAGCGGTGTTCGCGCCGTCGAGTAGCCAATTTTAGTTCCAGGCGCTCGACGACCAAACACCGCTGGGATAACAGAGGATCCAAGATGGCCGACCGCCGCGTGGTCGGTAGCCGAACGACGGCCACCCAGGAAAGCAATTATCCGCCGATTGCTACAATGTTGCAATCGGTTAATGGGAGCCACACGACCCTCTGTGTGTGGGCTCCCATTCGGTATTTTATTAGTTTCACGAACAGTGTATAAAGTCAATGTTCGTGAAACTACCATATGAATGCTAGCAGCTTTCGGCTGTTAGCATATGACTGCTCTCTACTACAGAAATACACAAATACATCCATACACAGAATTAACACAGCTTTTTAAAGAAAACCTTCAGATGTTAAGCAGTATGACCTAAAGTGGCTAGGTTTGCCACACTTTCATTAGTCCCTGGCCTTATCTTATAGTAGCCTTATGCCTATCCCCCGCATGCTTAAACTCCTTTACTGTGTTAACCTCTACCACTTCAGCTGGAAGGCTATTCCATGCATCCACTACACTCTCAGTAAAATAATACTTCCTGATATTATTTTTAAACCTTTGTCCCTCTAATATAAGACTGTGTCCTCTTGTTGTGGTAGGTTTTCTTCTTTTAAATATAGTCTCCTCCTTTACTGTGTTGATTCCCATTGGAGTGGTCTGGGTGCCAACTCCCACTACCCTTAACCCTGCAACTGCAATTATTGCAGTTTTCATAATCTGCAATCATTACCTTGCAAGGTTAACTCCTCCTCTAGTGGCTGTCTACTAGACCGCCACTAGAGGGCACTTCCTGCTTCATAGCACAGGTTTTCTGTGCTAGAGCGTCGCTGGACGTCCTCACGCTATGTGAGGACCTCCAGCGTCGCTCAATTCCCCATAGGAAAGCATTTTCAATACTTTCCTATGGAGAGCTCTAATGCGCATGCGTGGCATTGCCGTGCATGCACATTAGGTCTCCTCAGCCAGCGGGTGGGATCAGTCTCCCCTGCCGGCTGACGCGATGAAGGGGAGGAGCGGCGGCGACCCGAAACCACCGCGGGACATCGGCGGGGGTCTCAGGTAAGTCACTGAAGGAGTTTTCAGTCATTGTGTGCCGATTTTCCTCTATTGATACTTTGTACATTCCAATCTGTTGGTCATGACAAATTGAAGAAAAAAAAACAACAACAAAAAAACAAAATAACAGAACAAAAACCACCACACACACACACGTAAACAATGCATATTGAAAACTGGCAGAACAAACGCTGGATTGCTAACAATGTACGCTTCAGTATCAGCCCGATTACCAATTCATTTGAGAGAGAAAGAGGGTGTGTGTGTTGTGTGCTTGTGTGTGTGTGTAGGAGAGGGGGTGGGGTAGTTTTTAATAGTAAATCTTAGATGCCAATTAAGCTCTACATAAAACACAGCATACTTACGTTGGTGCTCTCACTTTCTTTATCAAAGTGCATGAGATCCAATAAAACTTTTGTTTTCTTTGTCATGAATAGGTCTAAGGAAACCTCGTGAAACATCTGACTCTTCTCCCGGATACTCATCTCCTTCTTGGGAAGAGGTGAATCAATGTACACCACCTTTGAAGTTTTGCCGTCTGTTGAGAGAAAATAGGATTGGTTGGATTGGTTTCAAACACCAAGTTAGACAAGCTCTAGTACTGAAGGCAATAAAAGCAGAGAGTGACACAACCACAACATTAAATTGCTTATTCGTTAAACTGTTAAAAGTTTATTCGATCACCTAAAAGGCAGAAAGAGAAAAAAAATAATAAAAAACATAAAAAATGTTTAATCATTGAAATATGTAAAAAAATTCCATTATTTAGAAAACGTAAACGGGTCCTTACTTAACAAAAAATCTATATAATAATATATGCAATAAAAAACAGAATTATTATGGATTTGGTCGCATATATTAGGATTTTGTAACTTGAATACTGAACTAGTAATAGTATAACTGTGCCTCCAAATTGTTAGCGTTAAAGGGATCTTACAGTGCCAGGAAAACAAATCAGTTTTTCTGGCACTCTAGGGTTAATAGGTCCCCTACCGTGGGGCTGAAGGGGTTAAAATCCCTTCAGCCACTTACCTGAATCCAGCGTCGATGTCACTCAGCGCTGGATCAGGCTCCACCCATGCACCTCCCCGGCAGATGTCAGTAATGGCGTGCGCACATTAGACCTCCCCATAGGAAAGCATTATCCATTATTCAATGCTTTTCTATGGGGAAAATATAACGCCACAGAGGGCAGACTTAGTGCTGCAACGTAAACATTTCAAAAAGTGCAAGAGTCACCGCACCCAGACAACTTCAATTAGCTGAAGTGGTCTGGGTGCCTACAGTGTCCCTTTAATTCCATAACGCTAGTCAGAGAGTGTTAAAAAAAAATAAAAAAATAATAACCAAAGTAGATATGAGATCACAGAGTTCTGTGAGAGATTGAATATTAAAACTGGATACTGATCAAGTGCAACAATGTATGTTATAAAAGTAATACATTGAAAATGTAACAGTTACACTAGTAAAAACGTATTCTATTGAAAAACACTTGGCCCAATGCAGATACTTTTAAAGCAAGGCACCATAACAACCTCATTGAAATGAAGTGACAAACTTATTGGTCTAATTTTTTTAAATGTATGTCTGTTCAAAACAGTTATGCATTGACAGGCTTTACAATGCTCACACGTGAAGATAACCTCGGTTACTGATAACCAAGAGGTCGTTATAGATGAATGAACGAAGGAAAGAGGACTTTGTACCAATACATCTCCCAAGCTTCTGCCTCTTCGTGATGTGGTAGATTAATATTCAGAGGTAATGTCCTTGAGATCATAATCATACCTCAGAATTGGTCAAAACCTGGAGATAGCCAACTGTACCTCACAGGGCCAGATTAAGAGCCCAGTGGGCCTGGTGCTGGCAATCATGATGGGCCTAATTACAGAATCCTATCGACCAAAAACACTAAAATGGTCTGATGTATCTGATGGAGATGGTGTTGGAGGGAAAGGATGCAGCTATGCAAAAACACATACTCTATGTTAATCTCTCTCTAATTTATGCTTTCATCTTTCAAGTAAATCCATAACCCCTAACAGTAGTGTCCAGTGAAGCAGGAAGTCAATGTGCAGGGTAAAAGAGTGTACCACTGGCGCGAATCAAGTGACCAGACCTGCCAAAAGGGGTGAACATGCCCAAAAAGGGGGCATGTTTGTCCAAAGAATTGGAAGGCCAGTCTGGCATGAATGCATGTCAGACTGCCTGCCAATCATGCAGGCTGTCCAACTAAGGGCATACTATGCAGGCAGCACCCTGAGCTCGACATAAATGTATCAAATGATGCGCCTACTCCACGCTTTCTAAGGACTGTCCCCTAGCACTCACATTGTCAATTTGTCTCCTTATCATCTTACTAGCAGGCAGAAATCCCTGGTGTAGCGGATGGCACGGGGCTGTCCTGCAAATGTCTTTGAAATAACTGCATTCGTGTGATCTGCTAGTTTTTTATGTGTTTTAAAAGAATTGTATTCCTCTGATTGTTCGGTAGTTTCATTCCCTTAGTTTATTCGAATGAAAATACCGAACAACCAGACCTCCCCTGTGTGAAGTGTGTCCTCAATTACCCGTTGCAACATTGTTGCGAACGGGTAATTGACTAGTAAGTAGCCGTCCTTTGTTCTCGGGGGTGGCCGCCATTCGACAAACGAACACGTGGCGGCGGCCATTTTAAAACTCCTGAACAGCGGTGTTTTGCCGTCGAGTGTCTGGAACTAAAATCGGACACTCGAGTAGGCGAACACCGCTGAGACCTCCACAAGCCCGGTCCGTTCGGTTCCAAACTACCGAACGGCCCCTCGTTCGGTAGATAGAAAGAACCGAACGAGGGGATTCAGGCGAACCCTCCCAAGCCTCTATAGCTAGAGGCTTTCGTGTATTTTATTCCCTTATGCCAGGACCGACCGCAGGGCCCATTCGCATGGAACCTCATTCGGCTATCTCAGTTAGTGCGGTCGGTCATTTTATTCCCTCCATACATTTCCCGAACCCCTGGTCTGATCTGGGTGATTTTTGGATATGTTGTTCACCCAGATCAGGGGTATCCGGGGATGTAGGATTTAAAGCGGTACCCCTACGTTTAGGGGTACATCCAGAAACGGGGGGAATTACTGTACTGGATAAGGGGATTATGATGCTGGCTGAGGGGAGGAGATGTGTGGGAGGTTACCAGGACAGGATTGGCTACTGTAATAATTATTGTAAATCCCTCCCTTGCATGGGAGCATGCTTTAAAAGGAGACTGTGGATTAAAGCTTTCAGTTCTGCTCCTGAAACTGTGTGTCGTCCAGTTATTGGGATTGCTGTGGGGATATTGCTGTTATTTTACCTGTTGGAAACCTTGCCTGTGGATTATTTGCTTGTTCCTGAGCCTCACTTGGATCATAAGCGGAGATAACCTGGGGAATATTGCATCTCCGCTACACCTGGTATATAGTCTGAGACAGAGAAAAGGTGTATGTAGTGAGTGTAGAAGAAAGGGGACATGCCACAGTGTTAGAGAGACCAAAGTCTGCATTATCTAAACTTATTTTATTGTCAGCCAGTCCACACAGGTTTTGTTCTCATGCATCCCTCTTAAGCTTCCAAACTTAAAGGGACACTATAGTCATGAGAACAACTACAGCTCATTGTATTTGTTCTGGTAAGTACAATCATTCCCTCCAGGCTTTTTGCAGTAAACACTATCTTTTCAGAGAAAATAAATCTGATGGCCACTCCTTAGATGGCTGCTAGAGGTGCCTCCTAGGGCAGTATTGCCTAGTGTGCAGCACTGCCATTAAGTGTCTCCACCCTCTGCATGCAGACACTGAACTTTCCTCATAGAGATGCATTGAATCAGTTTATCTTCATGAAGAGATGCTGATTGGCCAGGGCTATGTTTGACTTGTGCTGGCTCTGCCCCTGACAGTCTCAGACTAGTTGACAGACTCAGCCAATCCTATGGGGAAGCATTGTAATTTGCGCACACCACCACTTCTGATGATGTCAATACAAGTAAGAGTTTACTATATTTAGGGAGGCAAGAAGGGGGCTAAATTGTGGTTTTAACATAATAAGGTCAGAAATACATGATTGTGTTCCTGACCCTCTAGTGATCCTTTAAGCAAGAGTATGTGAAGAGTAGTTAGGGTTGCCACCTTTCTTGGAAAAAAATACCAGCTTTATACATTTGAATAATTAGTTAGTTATGTGTGACATCACATGATGTAAATCACAAGGAGTGACATAAGAGAAAATTCTGTAAAATCACCAACAAACTACTCACAGTTTGATTATGCTGTATAGATGGATTGCTCCCAGTGTCTCCCTGTCTCCCAGTGTCTCAGTCTCGCAAGTCACCCAGTCTCTCAGTGCCCCTATGTATCACAGTGTCAGTGTCCCCATGTCGCCCAGTCCCCTAGTCTCCCAGTGTCACAGTGTTCCCATTTCTCCCAGTGTCCCCATGTCACTGAGAGACCCGGGGACACAGACACTTGGGGACACTGGGAGACATGGGACACTGAGACACTTGGGGACACTGGGAGACACTGAGACACTAGGGACACTGAGATATGGGGACACAGACACTGGGAGACATGGGGACACTGTGTCTCTAGTGTCTCCGTGCCCCAATGTCTCTCAGTGTCCCCAGGTGTCTCAGTGTCCCCAGGTGTTCCCTAGTTTCTCAGTGTCCCCTAGTGTCTCAGTGTCCCCATGTCTCCCTGCTGCCTTTCCCCCATTCCTCACTTACCTGAGCTGTAGAGCTCCTGTCTGGACTCTCTGTGCTGTGTAGCTGCTCCCCCATGGATCAGTGAATAGTAGAGAAAGGCAGGGAGGGATATGCTGTAACTTCCTATCCCTGCCTCTCTCCCCACACAGTGACCGGTGCTGGTATTGCAGAGTAATTTCCGTTTATACTGAGAAAAATACCTGCATTTGTATTTCCTGTATAACTACAAGCCTCAAATACCAGCTGTGCCAGTAAAATACAGTCAGGTGGCAAACCTAAGAGTAGTGTGTAGTTTAAAAAAAAAAAAAAATGTATCCTTTTTATTTCCTTTCAATTTTCTATGTAGATGTTACATAGTTCTGCGTGTTGGACCACACTAGCAGTCGTGACATATACAGTGTGACCACATCCAAACTAGCTATCAACCTATATGGTGGAATATCCATGTTCTCAAGTTTAGAAAGTATGTTTAGTGTCCCTAATGTACAATGAACATCGGTCGACTAGTGGACGTAAAATCTTGACCACCAAGCTGCTCACCTCCTCTGTAATATGATGGGATATCCTGGGGGTTCTTAGCACCCTTGTGGGCCTTTGGTAAACAATAACATGTCGCTATTCATAGTTTTGTTCTCAACATAAAATTAAATTGATTATTGGATATGGTCATTGAAACAATAATTATATCTAATATAAACCTCAATTTGGAGACTAATGCCTCGTCTCAACTGAGCGGTATGGTTCGGGTCGGTAGGGTTAGAATGGTCCAGCCTATTCAAGTGAGCGTTTCCACTGCAAGTCGGACCGCAAGGGGGCATGCGGGATTTAGACCAAATGCATAGTGTGTCATTTGTCGTGAGCATTGACATTTTCTTGTCCGCCAACAAATAGATTGTATAGTGTGACGCCAGTAGCCCCGCCCTAACCGTATCGTACCATTTCCTATGTACCTACATCTGAAGGGGGCCCAGGAATGGTACAGGTTGGTTAGGTTGTATGGGCCACTTTCATAATGGAAACACTCAAAATAGCATACCAGACCATACAAAACCGTACCGCTCAGTGGAAACGGGGCATAAGTTGGATTAAAACAATTTTGTATAACACAGATCGTTTCAAGGAGACATACTCATCAGCACTATAGTTTCAAATAAGTTAAAAACAACAAGTAGACACAAAAGGTTTAGAACTTAAAAGATGCTGGTGAGTAGGGAAGGCGGCTTAACAACCCAGTACAGAGTCTGTAGCACTAACTGAAATCTCTAAATATTATAAGTATCTCTTTCCGTATTCCATTTCTCAGGACATACTACACTTTTCTCCATGGTCCCATTTCATTCCTGTTCCATATAGCATCTGAGAACCTCTCAAGACGCTTCTCCCAATTTCTACTACAAGCACTTCAAATATGTTAATGGTTGTGTCACTTCCTGCTTTTCTAACAACTATACCAGATATTAGTAGTGTAAGAAAACAGGGTTTTGCATAAAATGAAGTTGATAAAATATGGAAATAAGAGTGGGCCATTTTAAGGAGGAACTTTTCTGCCACGATTATGCTTTATATCCCCCCCACCCCCCTCTTGTATTACTATAGGCTAGCTGCTCTATCTCACAGCAGTTAGAACACGAAGTAATTGTCCATAGCAGACCTTCATTAGCAAAACATCCTTTTCCTGATTTTCCAAGAAGTAACTGCTAAAAGGTATGACAAGGAAATGCCACAAGAGGACAACCAGGAAATATAAAAAGGTTAGCCATATTCATCGCCAGTATGACAATCGCCCACCTTACCTGCATCGTTTATGGTATTCACACGAAAAGGAATCTCCCATTGTTCATTATAGCTGTTCCCATGATTATTAAGAAGGGCATATAATGCCTGGGATGTCATGACAACCTGCGGACAGTACTTTGCAGCTAACTTTGTTGCGTTGGGATCGGAGCTCACACTCTGTTGGCAAAGATATGAGAGACTGGTGAGTACTATTTTGCAGATTGTAATTGCATGTTGTAAGTCATCTACAGTCCTAATCACTGAATATTTAGGTTACACAAAACACACACAATGACACCCACAGAAGACCACCAGTGCTTGGAGTGAATAAGACCGTATATCACCAACACAGGCAAATGTCCTGAAAAGATGTAGAACATCAGTCTGTTCAGCAACTAAATACTAAATGGAAGAAAAAGAAAAATCCAGGCACACCAGAGGTTTCTTCTAAAAAGCTGTCTTTTTTATTTTATTTAAAACAAGGATGTGAAGACGATGTTTCAGCTCCTTTCTGAGCCTTTATCAAGTCTGAGACTTGTTTCAAAAAAAACAAAAACAAAAAAAAGAGACTGCTTTTTAGTACAAGCATGTCAAACATCATTGAGGCCCAGCGAGCCACGAGTGCATGCTCAGTGTTATAGCAGAGTAGGCACCTGCTTTCCCCACATGGCAGGTGCCTACTCTGCTAAAACTTACCCGGCCGGGGGGGAGGGCCTGCGAAGGAGCTCAGTGTGCCTGCTCCTCACTGCTCCCTCGCGGCACCGTCTGTAGTGAAGCCGGGCGTCAGAATATGACATCATATTCTGGCACCCGGCATCACTAAACCGCACAAAGGAGCAGCGAGCAGATAGAAGATCCCCACTGGACCCCATGGAGAGGCCCCACATCGGCTCCAAAAGGTAGGGAGCAATAAAGAAAATGTGTGTGTGTCAGTCATCGAGTGGGCGAGTGTGTGTCTGTCGGCCATCGAGTGGGCGAGTGTGTGTCTGTCGGCCATCGAGTGGGCGAGTGTGTGTCTGTCGGCCATCGAGTGGGCGAGTGTGTGTCTGTCGGCCAGTGTGTGTCTGTCGGCGAGTGTGTGTCTGTCGGCGAGTGTGTGTCTGTCGGCGAGTGTGTGTCTGTCGGCGAGTGTGTGTCTGTCGGCGAGTGTGTGTCTGTGTTGGTCAGTGTTGCATTGGCTGTGACTGGACAGTGGCGTACCTGGAGGTGCATGGAGGCACGCAACGCCACATCACATTCCGGTGTGACATCGATGTGCTCCATCTTCACAGGGTTTCAAGAAGTAGCGGGAGGATCAAATTTGGCACAGGGTGCAGACGGCACCATTTGGGGTATACCAGAGGCCGGACTCTGGAGTCGCATACTGGCAGCGGCAATGTGGAGTGGAATCTGCTTGTTGGCTAGAGGGGGGTACTAGTATTTAGTATATGGGGGGGGAGGGAGGAGAGGGGGACTGGGATTTATTAAAGGGGGTGCTGTGGTTTAGTAGAAGGGGATGCTTTTTTTTAATACTGTACTTTTCAAAATAAACCTACTGTTTTTATGAAAATTTTAAGGTTTTTTTTTTTTGCGGCCCACATAAACTTAAACCTTGTTTATGTGGCCCATGCTATACTTTGAGTTTGACATTCTTGTTCTAGAAGAAACCTCAGGTGTGCCTAGATATGTCTTCAGGAATTGGCCTTCCCTTTCTGGAGCACCTTGCAGGAAGTATTCCTCCTTTTTTAGTGTGTGCATTACACACTTTTTTTTGCAAACAGCAATTAGATACTGTCAAGTAATTCTAGTGTAGCTCCAAATGCTATCCACATACCCGCAGCCTTGTTTGATATTTTCATATGTACGAGTTATAGAAAACGTTTGCCTTTAATTCACTTTCCTGCTGCTGACCATTTTTCTGTGCCATCTGATACAATTTGCTAGGACACTAGTACCTTGAAAGGTATGGATAAACCAAGTTACAGTCTGTGATTCTGCATGAAGAACCTAGTGTACTTCAGGCGAAGAAGGATATGGTGCTTAGAGTGTTTAATTGACCCATAATATAGCATTAGAATAAATGAAAAGATAAGACCAGGACTCTTTCTAGAAGAACCAGCAGGTCTTAACTCACCGTGTGCATATGCTCAGCTTTCCTGGATGGTGGGACCTTAGAAGACACTTTCGTGTAACTAGTTGGCAGAACAAGTTCAGAATTGGGAAAAGTAATTTTTGCAAAATGAACTTCACCCTGAAAATAAAATCAAAATAATTAAAGAGACGGAGCTATAACGCCAATAACAGTGCCATAAAATGATTTTTACCTCTTTTGGTTTAGAACTAGAAAGTTTATTTTAATGAAGAGGTTAAATAAATCCACAGGGCTATTGAGACACACAGGGTTACCACTAAAGTGAGAATTGCTGGGAATTCAAGATGAATGTAAAAATTAGGTGCAAAACAGACAAAATTAGAATAATTAATTAAGTGAATCCTGTCTTCAGATTGACTATTTGGCCTTAAAGAGTTACTCCAGCCTTTGCTATCTAAAGCTGTTATTCAGTTTAAAACACCCTATTGGCATTATTCATTAGTGCACCTGTGTCTCTTCCCTTGTGAGATCAAATTAATTGAGAAGCATTCGTTTGGACTGTTCCACAGGTTCACAGAAATAATTTTTGAACAGAATTAACATCAGGCAGTCTGGAACATATTAGGCTGCCTAAGTTACGTGTGCCAGGGGTGTAACTAACTCTGTAACAAAGTATTTTGTTATGTGCAGTAACATTGCACATCCAGATTCCTACCACCTTGACCACTTCTAAAAGTGGTTGGATTAACACTCTGTCATGACAAAGGGACTCCCTAACCACCATAACCATTACAGTACAATGTAGTGGTTATAGTACCGTCCCTGGTGCTCACAGCCCATCATTGCTGTAAATGTAAGAGTTTGACTGTGCATTATTAGCTACATGGAAAACCCTGTGTTTTGTCAAACTTCTCTAAACCAGTGCATGAAAAATGGATGGACCGCATCCATGGACTCTTTGTACCAAAACTATTGGAATTAACTGAAGGGAAATGGTGTGTACATTGTCCCTTTAAATGTCCTTTTTTAAATAAAGGTCCAAGTAACACAAAAGAAAAAAAATTCTGAACTGCATTACCAATGCTAAAAGGCATTTCTCCAGCTTTAAGGTGAGATCAGGGATGATTTTCCCACCTAGCATACTGGTGACTTCATGATAAAAGTAAAACTCGGGATAGTTTTTCACGTATGACCGGCTGGCCTTCAGTACTTCCTGAAATGTAAAGACAGAAGACAAAACACACACACAAACACTATATTTAGCATTACAAACATCATAGTGTTATTATGAAGGCATTCTGCTTTGTTTATGTATGTCAGCACAGAAGAAGAGGATTCTCGGAATGACATCAGATTTCTGGTTATATACAAACTTTGACACTTTACTTTTTTGAGATACAAACTTACATTTCAACCATTGGTCATATATCTGAAATCCAGAAATATATGCTGAAAGAAATCTACCATCAAGTACCATAACACAAAGATATACACCTTTGTATATATGCCACCAATTTTACATTTCCAACAAACATCAATATAGAGCGTGCGTTAATAAAAGATTAAAGTGCAAATAGATGCAGTGTATACAGGAGTGATATTAAATAGAATAGGGGTGTACTAACTTTTGTTGCCAACGATTTAGACATTAATGGCTGTGTGTTGAGTTATTTTGAGGGGACAGCACATTTACACAGTTATACAAGCTGTACACTTACTACTTTACATTGTAGCAGAGTGTGATTTCTTCAGTGTTGTCACATGAAAAGATATAATAAAATATTTACAAAAATTGCGAGGGGTGTACTCACTTTTGTGAGATACTGTGTGTGTGTGTGAGATATATATACACACACACACACACACACACACTACACACCTTATGCACTCTACAAACACTGCTTCCATGTGGGCAGATTTGGAGGCGGGTCCTGTGGCGGGATTTGGAGGCAGGCCCCGAGGATGGGCTTAGAGGCAGACCCCCGGGGGCCCAGAACTTGAGCTGTGTTAGGGGCCCCAAAATTTCTGATGGCGGTCCTGCATGTTGCCTGTGCCAAACTCAATGTCAATGAATTACATGCAGTGTATTTAAAGATGTAGGTGAAAAGATCTACTGCTGGCCCGTATTGTGTTCAAAGGTTTGTCAACTCCAGCCAATGGTCTCTCTTTAAGAAAAACTAACTTTACTCTAAAAAAAGTCCTATAATTATTTTGGATAACAGTTAAGATTTCATCAATTAGTTCTTATATTGAAATCCAGTTTTCAAAACTTGATCCCAAACTAGGTGTGCCGTTCAGGGACAGACACTCCTTAGATATTCCCATGAGAAAGTTGACCTTGAATGTCTGTAATTTGTAGCAGACCAGTGGAGCTATACACTCTTCAATTGGTTCTACTCTTTACACTTCATATGTTGTTTTGTGAATCCCAGTATTATGATCTAGTGAGGGTTACAGCATACATGAATTAGTGTATACAGATAGCAGACACACCTGTGTGTATAACTGTGCATCCGGTGAGAGACAGTTGTAATCTTCCATACAGTTCCGGGCACTGTTCTGAAGGAATTTCTGAAACTCTGCATTCTCAATGCTTGCCTTTGACTTCAGAAACTAATAACAAAAAAACAAAAAAAGAAATATTACAAATAAATAAAGTTACAAAAATGAAACGCAGAACAATATGCATTTTTTTTCTTAAAGTGTATACAAACCTGACTGACTATGTAGTCAAACAAGTAAAAATTATGATAGATTAGATAGAATATGGTAAATCACATTGGATAGATTAGCGCAGATCAGATCAATAGACAAACAATTGGTTCTACTGACAGAACATACAGCAAAGGCAGAATGTCCACATCAGGTAAACCCAACCCTGAAATCAACAGTTAAGGATACATTAAAAAAAAACAGGTCGCAAGAGAATACTGAGAACGGGCAGCAGCTGAAGTAGCCTGCCCTTCGGTGGGTCCCCTGCTCAGTTCTCAAGCTGGTTTTTGCTCATCTTGTGCCATTACAGAGAGAACATATCTGAAGCATATCAGACTGGTCCCACCCATACGGGTAGTCCAAATCTGAAATGCCAGCAAGTTCTCTCTGCACGAGAGATATAGCAACCCCAAACAATCGTTTCAGCCTTGTTAGGCATCATCAGTGAGGCATAGCTGATATCTCCCTAGGCACCGTGAGCAAGGGTCTACGTCTGGATTACCCTTTAAACTTGTGGAGAGCAAAAAAATGGGTCGCAAGAGAATACTGAGAACGGGCAGCAGCTGAAATAGCCTGCCCTTCGGTGGGTCCCCGCTCAGTTCTCAAGCTGGTTTTAGCTCATCTTGTGCCATTACAGAGAGAACATATCTGAAGCATATCAGACTGGTCCCACCCATACGGGCAGTCCAGATCCGAAATGCCAGCAAGTTCCCTCTGCCTAACAAGGCTGAAACGATTGTCTGGGGTTGCTATATCTCTCGTGTAGAGCCGGCCTGTATTTTGGATCTGTTCTGCCCTGTTGGATGGAATCAGTCTGAGATACATGGCCTGGTTCTCTCTGTAATGGCACAAGATGAGCTAAAACCAGCTTGAGAACTGAGCGGGGACCCACCGAAGAGCAAGCTAATTGAGCTGTTGTCCGTCCTCAGCACTCTCTTGCTACTTGTTTTTTTACTCTAGTTAATGATACATGATTCAAATGCTGAGCACTCGATCAATAAGGCAGTTATACAATTAAGAAAGGGTCGCAAATACTGTGCAATCATTTTTTTTAAATTTTTTTATTTTTTTTTCTTGGTTTACGATTTAGTCAAGAGCGCTGACCAGCTTATTAAAGGACTTAGAATTATTTGGGACTTGCTAAACCCTGTAACCAGGTTCAAAATGTGATTTGAGATTTACAGGGAAAAAAAACAAACAAAAAAAAACACTACATTCAATCAACAGTATGCAAAAACAATATATCAACCTATCATGCCCACATGAGCCTCATTTGGAGTAGATGGTAACAGTGAAAACCAGGCAAGCTGGCACTGGGGAGATGTACAGACCTGTGGCTTGGTGCCTTAAAAGGTTACTCCAAGCAGCATGGCCACTACAGTGATTGGAAGTGGCCATGGTGCCTGTAGTCTTTATGTGCATGTGTGTAACTCCATCTCCAGCAGCATCATCATTGGGGTGTCAATAACGAGAACAAGAGTTCTTGGCTGGCTAATGTCAATTCTGAGAAACTTATGTTGTACAGATTGTTAGTCATTAGCTTATAATGGTCAGCTGCCATTCTTAGTCAATGGATTGCGATTGCCGCAGGTTCTAGAGAGGCCGGAAGAACATATCTGGACCAAGAGGGAGCATCGGTGCCTGGCGTGGACCTAGCTAAGTGGATAAACCATTGCTAAACGTTTTATCCCATTACTGGGGAACCAGGCCAGGGTACTCCTGGAGGCTTGGAGTAATCCTTTAACTGTGACACACAAAAAATAAAGATAGGATTGATGTCTATCAATTGCTTTCTCTTTCATTTCAAACAGGTTGGCAAATACAGAGGAAATGCTGACTGAACACAGACAATTTTACTTCTCTGTTCTGTGCATACAGTTCAATAAAAGGGCACCAACTGCTAAAGGTGAACAGGAACCACTTGAAATACATTTGACCCAAAAGCAAGGAGTAGTACCTGCAACCTAGTAGTGCTGTACAGCAGTACAAATGGATGTAGTGGCTCTGATGCATTGGCTGCCTGTTCAGTTTCATAATCCTTTGACCGTACGCACATTTATGTGAAGGTATTTTAATTGTGCCAACTTTAGTTAAACTCACACGGAGCCAGACATTTAGTTTGAATTACATTCAAAATGTGTTTATATACATTTATGTGAAGATGACTTTATTTAGTTTTCTTGTACTCACAAATTTGGGGATACAAATGTTATCTAAAAGAAATGAATGTGCAGTATCATAAAAAAAGAGAATTGCTCAAAGGCTCTCACTTTTATAGATGGAATGAAGCGCTCTGAGTACCTCCCACTATGATGTCCACACAGCTGGTTACCGCTTTCAACAGCTCACAGGGACTTCAGTTTGGATAGGTTAACGGATATTTTAAAAATCGCTGTGATTTGTCTATATATTACACTAATTCTGACATGAGTTAATTCAGTAAACTGGGAATTGTTGAGAACGAATTAGAAAATGATAAGTTTTAGTCAAAAGAATAAATAAATAAATGAATTAACTGGAAACATTCCACTATTTTATCCTAAAATGTTTTTTAAAAGTTTATTTTTAATTCTCCACAATTTATAGTAAAAAGAATATCGCGGTCACCCAGATCACGTCATATCAATGAAGTGGACTGGGTGCAGTGGCCCGTCCCCTTAACCCTGCAAATAGCGTAGTTTTTGGGAAACTGCAATGTTTACATTGCTGGGTTAACTCCTCGTCTAGTAGCTGTCATACTGACAACCACTAGAGGAGCTTCCACAGCTCAGACCGAGTAAAACGGTCACGTGACGCAGGGTCCCCATAGGAAATTAAGATTTTTAAAAGCACAATGGTGCGCGTTGCGCATGAGAAATAGGTCCCCCCAATACTCCTCCAGGAAAAGCATTGTATTAGACCGTCACGGTGCAGACCTCAATGGGGCGAGAGTAGTCAGCTGCACCAAGGAGCCTCGTTGCTGGATTAAGGTATGTAAAACTTAATTAAACATTTTTTTTTAAATGTTTGCTCCGGGGACAAACCTAATACTACTAGAGATAGGTAGACTGTAGCAACAGGATTATAGATTTGTATTCCTTACGCAAGAGTGTTCCTTTAACCCCTTAAGGACACATGACATGTGTGACATGTCATGATTCCCTTTTATTCCAGAAGTTTGGTCCTTAAGGGGTTAAAGGGACACTATAGTCACCCAGACCACTTCAGCTCAATGAAGTGGTCTGGGTGCCAGGTCCCCCAGGTTTTAAACCTTCAGATGTAAACATAGCAGTTTTAGAGAAACTACTATGTTTACATTGCAGGGTTAATCCAACCTCTAGTGGCTGTCTTCCTGACAGCCGCTAGTGGTGCTTCTGCGACGCTGGATGCGAAAATCGCATCCAGCGTGCAGAACGTCCATAGGAAAGCATTGAGAAATGCTTTCCTATGGACTGTTTGAATGCGTGTGCGGCTCTTGCCGCGCATGCGCATTCAGCTCCACGCGGGGGCTGACGTCTGTGGGGGAGGAGAGGTAGCCAGCGTCAGGGGTGCCCGGCGCTGGATTAAAATAAGTGGCCGAAGGGGTTTTATGATATAGTCTCAGGAAAAGGAGTTTGTTTTCCTGACACTATAGTGATCCATTAAGAGTATAAACTGCACAATGTATCTGTGCTACGCAGAGGCCCATACCTGATAATGTTCATACTCCCGGAGTTGTATTATATGTGGTTTGAAGCATTTCTTGCCCATAAATTTGATCATCAGCTGTACATATGTCCTCTGCTCCAACAAAGAGAGTGAGGAGGAGCGGGGGTACGGCACGCGGGGCTCAGGCAGAGACTGAATGTCTGTGGACGTTCTGACAGCTTCATCTCTCTCTGGAACTGTGGGCTGGGAAATGGGGGCCTTCTCTTCTTTTTCTGGGGATTTCTCTGGAGCCTTCTGTACTCTATAAAAACAAAAATGTAATTGAAATCGATTAGATCATTATGGCAGATGGAGGTGGGGATTACAGATTTTGCATTAAGTACTTTCAATATTGAGAGGCAAAAAAAATAAAATAAGAAGAATGATAATCCCTAAGCTAATAGCAGGTCCTATTCACTTGCCAAAAAGCTTAATTCATTGTTTTTCATGAATGAAGCTAAATTGCACATGGATGCTGAACAAACTTTTCGGGTTGTAAAGCAAGTAAAAAAAATAAATGTGTGTGTGTAACCATAAAAGTTCTTGTTCGGGTAGAAGGAAGCACATCCTGTGCACGAAGTAATAACGGTTTGACCATAGAGGACATAACCGTGCAACTAGGCAGCAAAGCAATCCTCGACTTTCATCATCCTATTTACTAGAACAGGGAAATGCTAAATTTACTAAAATAAATGCAGAGCGTCCTCTGTCCACTCAGCTTATGTAGATCCGGGTGTAAGTTGATTTGATGAAGCATTTTGCGGTCTACCTTTCTGTGTTAGAGAAGGGAGTACCCAGTCCCAGCATACGTATACAACCCCCCACATGAACACAGAATTCCATAATGCTGATAAATTCTCTGTTGGATTGACCTTAAAAGGTACCTTTAACCGCCCTAGTTCATTACTTTTTGAGAATCCCTCAAATTGACTTTTTTTAAATATCGATTCCTAATTTACATTTAATGTTTCCATTTTTTTGTTTTGTTTATTTTTTTAGGGTCTCTAACATTTTATTATTTTGAGAAAATGTTCATATTTTAAAATACATAATATACATTCTCTAGATTTATTATCTAATCAATAGTCTGAGGAAATAGTGCCACCTTGTGGTGTTTCTTTTAAGCAATCCAGAGAGTTGATACTTTGTAAGTATATTTTGACGGAATTGCGGTATGGGTCCCCTCCCCACCATTAGCCAACTTTACAGAAGATCAATCAAACTTTGAAATTTATAAGCTTGACCCATTTCATCGTGGAGATTGCAGGACTATTATTATTATTATTGATCCACACGCTGCACCATTCTTAAATGCATCAGGTAATTTTAGCTCTCCAAATACCCAAATACATTAGATTCATTATTTAAAATAGTCCCAAATTACCAGTAGCATGCAAAAAAAAAAAAATCTTTGAAATATTAAGAGACGTGTATTTCCATATCCATTTCGTAAAAGTAGATAATGTATCCAGGCAATGACAGCCTTGCAGGTAGAGCACTCCATAATGAACAGAAAGTCTGATAAAGGAGAGGTTGCACTGCCTTTTTTTTTGTTAAATATAGATTTTAACCCCCTAGGTAGCTGGATTATACCTATATTTATATCAGGTTAGTCACCTGGTATGTAGAGGACAAAATGGTCACACGACTGCACAGATTCTAAATTTTAAACTTCGATTGATTTTCAATAAAGTTGGATAATGCAGCCATTGGAGACTTAGCTTCCGATGATTTTATTATTTTAAAATATTAACATAAAAAGGAAAAAAAAGACGTACATATAATTTCTTCACTGTATAGGAATATACACAATATTGTTTTGATGGTCTAGTTTCGCAAAAACCTTTTATGTAAACTCTTGTAGACTGCCATCCTATACACCAGTGGTACCCCAAAACCAGTCTCCCTAAACCCTGGTAGGTGGTAAGTGAGGAAGGGTTTAGGAAACACTGCTATACACTACCCCCTCACTCAGTTACTACACAAGGTCACTGATTTGATTGTGGAGCACGGCTTCAGTGTTTAAGAAGCCTGAAATGACCAACAGTAATAGACACGGTAACATTTTAAAGCCACACACCGTACATTTGACCTTCATGCGTCACCATTCTATGAAACAAACTGCATTAAGTTTAAAGGGATACTATAGTCGCCAATACAACTTTTGCTTAATAAAAGGAGTTTTGGTGTATAGATCATGCCCCATGCAGTCTCACTGTTCAATTCACTGCCATTGAGGAGTTAAATTACTTTTGTTTCTGTTAATGCACTCCTGGCCACACCTCCCCTGGCTGTGACTGACACAGCCTGCATGAAAACAAAATGGTTTCATTTTCCCACAGATGTAACTTACTTTAAAAGATTTTTATCTCATGCTCTGTAAATTTAACTTTAATTACATACAGGAGGCTCCTGCAGGGTCTAGCAATCTATTAAAAGAGCAGGAGATAAGGAATTATAAATTAGACAGAATTTGCAATAAAGGAAGTGTAAACATTAGATGACTCTTTACATGACATATTTAGGCTGTGCAATTCACATGCAGGGAGGTGTGACTAGAGCTGCATAAACAAAGTGATTTAACTCCTAAATGGCAGAGAACTGAGCATTGAGACTGCAGGAGCATGATCTATAAACCAAAACTGCTTCATTAAGCTAAACTTGTTTTGGTGACTATAGTGTCCCTTTAAGCTCCTTGCGTAAAGTTGGAGTGTAACTATGTGGGTGAATGTGACTCCTGCCTATCACATTATAAGGCAATTAATTATCCTAATTAAAAATATTTATATACACCAGTATGACGGATACTAGATATGGAGGATATATTAGCTATGAAGGATATGGAGATATTACATTTGAAGGTGCATGGTTTTGGCCAATGTTAGTGAAAAGTTATTATTCACAGGAGACATGAGAAAATGATAAGAGATCAGCAGTACTTAGCTGAAGACACATCACAGCTGTCTCTCCTTGTAGGAAAAGATGCCATGGGAAGTAAAAGCTGACATGTCAGATTAACATCTAGCTGTAAAAGTTTGCTGACTCATAGGTGCCCAAGTACTGAACATGCAAGCTCTAGCAACACCAGGCTGCCTCAGTTAAGGACTATATGTTAATAAGCAAAATCTGGCGTTACTCGTACTGATTTTGCTGGTGTAAGGAAAAAAAATTACAAAAATGAAATGTGTATCATATTCGGTTTTTAGAATGCACAAATTCAGATAGAAGAATGGAATCAAATGGTTTCGAGTATGCCTGGAACTGTGAGGATACTAATAATCTAAAACAAACACCATGAGAACTGACCTGCCAAAAAGTGGATACAACTTGCATCAATGCATGAACGCAACAAATAGAAATCTAGGTGGTTAGCTCGCTAACGTTAACCAGTAATTATCCAGCCCATGTACTATTCGAAGCATTATCCTTACATTACAAAAAAAAATCATCCCGAGACCACAGGCCCGTTGTTCTAGAGCAGGTATGGTCAGAAAACCCCCAGCTGAAGAAGGCTACCTTCTGTTCTAGACTTCTTTTCTTGCCCTAACAACTCTAATTAAACTTTTAAGAATATATCCACATGACACAGAACGTGAGGAATGAATTTTACTTGTTTGCCAGAAGCATGAGTTCAGCCAGTGTTGGTGCCAAGGAATACTTTTCATAAGTTGCTTGAGTGAAAAAACAGCTCTTGCCATTATGAGGCTCAATGTCCCTGAAAAATAGAGAAAACAAAAAATGACATTATCAAACTATATTACACCAACAGCGTTTTTGACGAAAGGGAGAATTGTCAGGAATTCAAAATTAAATGAACACTATAGTAACCGCTATTACCAATTATGTCAAATATGTATTTCAAACGCTATGTTCCAGTAACTATTTTCACATATGGGCACATTCTAAATAATAAAAAAAAAAAAAAAAGGATTTAGGCTTTGCCTCCACTGGGTGAAATGCATTGAGTCAACACATCGATATGAGAAACATTCAGGGTCTTCGTGGTGTCTATAGTGTTCCCTTATGGTCAAAACAAAATTCAGCTAAGCTTACAGTTTGGATATTTTGGTCTAACATTTTAATTTCTGACATTTCTTACTTAAATACATACCCATGGAAGTCAGAAAGAATACGCATACATTACTATATTCCTCTACCAAGGCATAAGATGTCCTCATCAGAGGAATAAGCAAAGCAGTTACAGTATGTGCACTGTGGTTGCTGTGATGAAGAAGATATGTCATCTCTAGGATCGTTCTCCTGCTCTCTCCTATCACTCAACCGACAAGGGGCCGTATCTTTAGAAGAAGTTGTGTTTTTTGTTGTTGTTTAACCCCTTTAGGACACATGACATGTGTGACATGTCATGATTCCCTTTTATTCCAGATGTTTGGTCCTTAAGGGGTTAAAACATTCGGTCATTTATAGAACCCATACTGAGAATGTATCTGTCATTCATTAAAATATCAATTATAAAGATCTCAATATTAAAGCGGCACTGTCACGCCGTACTTACCGTATATACTCTGTATAAGTCGAGAAATTATTGTCCTAAACTTCATTTTTTAAAACGTAGTCAACTTATCCACGGGTCAGTGCTAGTTTTGATAGAATTTTGTACGGCGTTCAGGAATCGAATGTGGGGCAATGTCGACTGCCGAACGCCGTTCTCTTTGCTGGTCGGGAAGTCGAACGAGCAGAGGTACAAGTTTCAGCGGGCTTGCGTAGCCAACTCAGAGATCCATGCTGTCGAAGACCATGTACCGCTGCCTTTGCGGGACGAACACGTGCGTTCGCATATACGAATGGCGGCCACCCAGGGAATGCTTGTTTGCGCTTAACAGCCAGGGGTGGTCAGTGATTACGAGGTGTTAACAAGGGGCCTCACAGAGTCTGTTCGGTAACTGAACAGAAGGGGAACAATTCCATTCAAAAGTCGTACCCTCAACTTATCCATGAGTATTGACCAATTGTTGGTCAAAAAACTGCACTAGACTTATACACAAGATCGACTTATTGTCACATATTCATCCGCTTATAGAAATGTGGTTAATGACATTTACTGTCCACACAGGAAAAGTTGTGCCGAGCAGCAACCTAATCCACAGAAGGGTTAATGCTGAGCAGTAATTGTGCAAATGAAACCTGGTGTCATGTATTCATCCGCTTAGAGAAAAGTGATTAATGACATTTACTGTCCACACAGGAAAAGTTGTGCCGAGCAGCAACCTAATGCACAGAAGAGTTAATGCTGAGCAGCAATTATGCAAATGAAACCTGGTAACTGACTTTGGGGTCAAAGGCCGGTTACAGCCTATCAGAACTAAAGGAGGGGTATTTAGGCCCAGTTCTCAGCCTGCTCAGTGCCCTGTCGTGGTTTCCCTTGTGGTTGTCTGAGAGCGCGTTCCTGTTTATAGTTTTCCACCTGGTTTTTGACTTTGGCTTTGTTTATTGACTTCTCTATATTCTGGTATCCTGACTCCTGGCTTTCCTCATCGCTGTGTCCCTTTCTGTGTTCCCTGACCTCGGCTAGTATTTTTGACTATTCTTTGTACGTTAAATCCGGCCATTCTAAGGACCGGTAATACGTTACTTATTTGTCATCCGTGCTGTACAGTTCTACGTGCTGGATCAAACAGTAATCCTGACACTTATAGACTGGTATATACAGTACTTTTTCCTAAATAACTTCCACTACTCTTCCGCTTTCCTACTCTATTTTTTATCTTTTTCTAACTATAGACAAAGTAGGGACTACTTTGTCTTATTTATTTTTCCTACGCCTTACTTTCTTAGACACTGGGAGGAGCCACAGTGTCAATCACCAGTGACGGCTGCAGGGAAATGGCCTTGTCTATGGAGGATCCCACGGTCTTGCTGGATCCTCCATATCTCAATGCTGTACTCTTGTGCATGCATGAGAGTACAGCAGTGACATTTGGCTCCTGGTCCCTGGACCCACAAATTCTGCAAAGCCCCCAGACTAACAGTGATGCTTTAAATTTGGTACTTTAGCCCTAACCAGTTATATTGGAAAAGTTCTCTATGGTTTCAGTTTGCCCAAAAACATGAAATTAAATTTGAATTCTCAAACAATTTACATTTCAGTTAATGTGATAAAGTTCTCAATAGCTTCAATGGCAGTTTAAAAAGCAAACTCTGGTTCTACATTTAGCATTGCAGGGACAACTCGAACATATTCCTCCTACACATAGCAAGTAGGGAAACAATCCCAAGCAACGTATAAATATAGTTTTAATTCCTACTGTCTAAATTACATGATCACATCTGATATAATCTAAAATAAGAGTAACTATTAGTACCTTGGTTTTAATTACACTACATGTTTTATATGTCACCTTGCATCAATAAATACATAAACAGACAAGATGCTGTCATGATGCAATCAGCACCTCTTTAAATGTAGCTAAAGCAGAAGGTCTCCTTTCACATTATACACAAACACACACATAAATTGCATCCCAATTTGAGTGGAATTCATTGTCTGAGAGTATGAATGAGAAGTCCAATGGATGCCATCCAAACCTGTAGTATACCCAGATAGGTAGAGGTCAGGGAACCAAGGTAAGTGTCAAATGGTCTAAAGACTTTTTTTTTTTTTTTTTTTTAAATAAAAATATCTAAAAGGAACACCCTGAGTGCCATGACCAATACAGTAAGCTGTACTGGTTTATGGTGCCAAAAGTACCCAGTGTACTGAGGAGGGGTGCACAGACAGTTCCTCTTCCTCCCAGGTCTCCAAGTGATTGGTGAATCAAAACAAGCACCATTACACTCACACCAAGGTACATGGGGGTGAAACTGAGTCTCTCTCTCTCCTCCTCCTCCTCCTCCCTCCCCCCCCCCCTCACCATTGTTGTGATGATGTGGAAATTTAGATTTTATATAATATATACACATACCCAGTGGCGTACACATGACCCATGGGGCCCCGGTGCGAAAATTGATCCGTGGGCCCCTCCCTCCCCCGCGGGCCGGGCCGCAACACATGGCGGTGGGCACCTGGTCGCAGGGGTTACAGGGCTGCGACCCCTGCGACCGCGGTATGTACGCCAGTGCATGCAGATGCACACACACTTAAAGGACCACTCTAGGCACCCAGACCACTTCAGCTTAATGAAGTGGTCTGGGTGCCAGGTCGAGCTAGGGTTAACTCATTTTTTCATAAACATAGCAGTTTCAGAGAAACTGCTGTGTTTATCAATGGGTTAAGCCTTCCCCTATTTCCTCTAGTGGCTGTCCCATTGACAGCCGCTAGAGGCGCTTGCGTGCTTCTCATTGTGATTTTCACAGTGAGAGCATGCCAGCGTCCATAGGAAAGCATTATGAATACTTTCCTATGTGACCGGCTGAATGCGCGCGCAGCTCTTGCCGTGCGTATACAGCCGACGGGGAGGAGAAGAGGAGGATCAGAGGAGGAGAGCTCTCCGCCCAGCGCTGGAAAAAGGTAAGTTTTAACCCTTTCCAGAGCCGGGCGGGAGGGGGTCCCTGAGGGTGGGGGCACCCTCAGGGCACTATAGTGCCAGGAAAAAGAGTATGTTTTCCTGGCACTATAGTGGTCCTTTAAAGGACCACTACAGACACCCAGATCACATCAGCTCAATGAAGTTGTCTGGGTGTCAGGTCCCTCTAGTTTTAACCCTGCAGCTGAAAACTATGTTTCACTGAGGGTTAATCCAGCCTCTAGTGGCTGTCTCACTGACAGCCGCTAGAGGAGCACACTGAACATCCATAGGAAAGCATTGAGTAATGCTTTCCCATGGGCGGTTTGAATGCGTGCGCGGTCGCATTCGGAGCTGAGAGGCTGAGGGATCCTCAGCGCCAAGGGAGTCCGGCGCTGGAGAAAGGTAAGTGCTGAAGACACACACACACACACACACTTACAAACGCATACACACTAGCTAACAGACACACGCATTTACTGACAGAGACACAGTCAGCGACAGACATACATACACACTCACTTACAAAACATACACTTTCATTGACAAACACACACTCAGTAAGACACACACAGTAACACTCACTAGCAGACACACACACTAACACTCACTAGCAGACACACACTCTAACACTCACACTAACACATGATTTTTTTTTTTTTTTTTAATTTAATCCCCCCAGCCTCCTTACCTTTTGGAGTGCTGGGGGGATTCCCTGGTGTCCAGTGGTGCTGCTGGGCTCCTGGGCGGGTGGCCGGTCGGGTAGGCAGGCGCGCGCGCAAGGGAGCACTCAGTGCTTCCTTTTCATCTCCCTTGCGCGCCGCGTAGGGATGCCGGAGCTGGCCCTGGGCGTACATACCAGGTCGCAGGGGCGGCCGGGCCCCCTGGTGGGCCGGGCCCGGTCGCAGCCGCGACCCCTGCGACCCTGGTATGTACGCCACTGCACATACCTGTGTTTATCAATGAGTGTATACAGGTACTCCTCACTTATCGACCAGGTTCCGTTCATAAGACCCGGTCGTCGAACAAATTGGTCAGTAAGTGAGGAGTTAAGGGATTCCCTGCTCTAGTGCGCTGGTCTATGTTCGGGGAAATGCCCCCGAACATAGACGAACGCAGCAGATCAGGAAACCCCTCTAATTCCCACGACGGCTCGCAAAACGAGGACGTCCTGTATCACTATATAAATACCAATGTTCATGAATCAGTAAGTTTACTGGGTGCCTCATGACCTTACTACACCTCTAATTTCCAATTTTTTCAAGTATGTCCAAGGGAGCACATACAAATACAATGTTACACATTACAGTTATAAATACACTGTTAAACAGTTATTAAATGATCCTTCAAAAAAAATAAAATAAACATTTGCAATATAACAAGATTTTCTCACAAAAACCCCAGCCGGTTCACTCTAGCTCTATCTTAGCTGTATGTAAGCCTGGCACCCCCTCCTTCTCACTATTAGTGGCTATCACATCTAACACACTGATGGGCAGTCCATGAAAGGTGCTCCCCAGCACTGTGTAATATTGACATCCTCCTAAGCTTATTATGGAAGCATCCCAAAGGAGCTGTCATGGCCAATGGATTTCCCTCTTGCAGTGTAAGCATGTTTCATGTGCTACCAGCTACCATATAGAAGGGCTATAGCTCTAGGAAAACCCTGATAGATCTGGCAGCACTAATAGTGATTGACATTAAACATTAGCAGACAGTTACAGTAATTTGTATTGGTTTCAGTAATGATGCACATGCAGGACTGGATGCCAAACATCAGGCATGCCTGCAGTGTTGTTAGCTCTATTGTTTGGAACTCTCACCATCTCAGCTCCGCCGCTCCCTCCATCCTCCTGCAGCGTCCGCTCCACGGCCAGAGCGCAGCGCAGCAAGGCGCGCGAGTCACGTGATCACACCCAGATCGCAGAGCAGCTACACGCCGAGCGCTACACACAAGAGACACAAACCCGCCTCTGCATCAGTACAGCCCCAGCAACCGTGTTCTTGGATGGGCGCTGCAGAGATGCCGTGGGATCCTCGGTCACGTGATCAGCTGCTATGATGACAATGTTACAGCGAGTCCCGCTTACTAACTGCTATACAGGACCCGCTATTGGTCAGATCGAGTCATGTGACCGGTAGTTTACACTGACACGTGCTTGTGGCTCCCTGTTAGGGGGAGTTGCCATGGCAGTACTGGTTTCACTTTGGGGGCAAAGGTCTAACCCAGGGGTGCCCAAAATGTAGATCCTCAGATGTTTTAAAATTACAACTTCCATGATGCTTTGTCATTCTAAAGGCAGGCAAAGCATTGTGGGAGTTGTAGTTCTACAACATCTGGGGATCTATCTTTTTGGGCACCCGGGGCTAGGGTTGCCGCCACCTTTATTGGGAAAAAAATAGGGGCCATTCTATAAGGGGGAAAAAAAACATTTGGAAGAGAAAAGTTCCCTAAATCGCATTAAAATACTAATTACAATGTGTACTATGTCTGACTGTATGTGTAGCATTGTGTGTATAGCAGACTGTGTGTGTGTGTATACAACCTTTTTCAAATTATTATGCAAATTATATTTTTCTCATTTACCTAAATAATTGATGTAAATAACAGTCAGCATAATTCTCATGCTATCAACTATTAAGAGTACGATTCAAATTTTATTGAACAAACCTTCTAATGATAACAGTATTTGTTTTAAACATAAAAACCTTACAATGCACTGTTCCAAATTATTTTACGAACAGTAAGTTTCAAAACACTTTATAGGTTGTAAAGAACTAAAAATTGTCATTTGTTGTGTTTGCAGCATATTTACTGAAATCAAAAGCTATTTCAATCAAACTTATTACAACATTTTAACTTTTTAAACATTTTAACAGGTCACGTTACATTTTAACATAGGGCCCCTTATTTGAAAGCAGCTTCACAAGTCTTGCATCCATTGAACTTGTGAGTTTTTGGACAGTTTCTGCTTGAATTTGTTTGCAAGATGTCAGAATAGCCTCCCAGAGCTGCTGTTTGGATGTAAACTGCCTCCCACCCTCATAAATCTTTTGCTTGAGGATGCTCCAAAGGTTCACAATAGGATTGAGGTCAGGGGAGGCTGGAGACCATACCATGACTTTCTCTCCTTTTATCCCCATAGCAGCCATTGATGCAGAGGTATTCTTCACAGCAAGAGATAATGCATTGTCATGCATGAAGATGATTTTATTACGGAAAACATAGTTCTTCCTTCTGTACCAGGGAAGAAAGTGGTCAGTCAGAAACTTCACATACTTTGCACAGGTCATCTTTACACCTTCGGGGACCCTAAAGGGGCCGACCAGCTCTCTTCCCATGATTCCGGCCCAAAACATGACTCCACCACCGCCTTGCTGACGTCGCAGCCTTGTTGGAACAGGGTGGCCGTCCACTCCATCCATCTGGACCATCCAGGGTTGCACGGCACTCATCAGTGAACAGGACTGTTTGAAAATTAGTCTTCATGTATTTTTCTGCCCAATGCAGCCGTTTCTGCTTGTGAGCATTGGTTAGTGGTGGCTGAATAGAAGGTTTATGCACAGTTGCAAGACTCTGGAGGACTCTACACCTTGATGTCCGTGGGACTCCAGAGGCACCAGCAGCTTCAAATATCTGTTTGCTGCTATGTAATGGTATTTTAGCTGTTGCTCTCTTGATCTGATGCATGGATCTGGCAGAAATCTTTCTGAATGTGCCTTTATCTGCACGAACCCGTCTGTGCTCTGAATCAGCCACAAATCTCTTAATAGTGCGATGATCATGCTTAAGTTTTCATGAAATATTTAATGTTTTCATACTTCGTCCACGGCATTGAACTATTTTACTCTTTTCTGCAGCAGAGAGATCCTTTTTCTTCCCCATATTGCATGAAAATGGTGCTCTGCTTAATAATGTGTAACACCCTCCTTTAGTAGTTTTTCCTTAAATTGGGCTCACCTGGCAATCTAATTATCACAGGTGTCCAAGATTGTTTTCAGTGATCAAAAGAGCCCTGAGACACAAAGCCATCCATGAGTTAAACTGAAAAACAAAATATTTAATCTTTGTGACACAAATAGAATTTGCATAATAATTTGGAACAGGGTGTATATGTGTCTCTGTGTGTGTGTGTTTGTATGTATGTGTGTGTATGTATGTGTGTGTACAGTGGCGTACATGCAGGGGCCCATTACTCCAGGGGACCCGGCCGGTTTCCCAGAAAAGCTCTTAAACACAAGGCTGGAAAGATGAAGGGTGCGTCTGGATTCCAGCGACAGCCAGTTTAGTTCTTTTAGCATGTCACAATGGTGGGTCCTGTAATTACATTGTAGCACAAATCGGCAGAACGAGTTCTACAATGTGTTGAGTTTATTAATGGGGGATTGCGATGCAGATGCATATACTACATCCCCATAATCAATGATTGGCATCAGCATTTGCTGTACAATCTTTTCCTTTACTGTAGGGCTTAGGCAGGATTTGTTTCTGTACAGGGCACCTAGTTTTGGATACAGTTTAGATGCAAGCTTTTCTATGTGCAGGCCAACAGATAGATTGGGGTCTAATATCATACCCAAGTATTTAAAAGAGTGGACTGCGGTCAGTGTGTCATTTGAATTTGTTTTGATGGATAGGTGGGAATTGTGTATTTTGTGTAATTTAGGTACTGTTCCAAAGATCATTGTGACAGTTTTGTCAGTGTTAAGGAAGAGGTTGTTTTTTGCGATCAACCTTTCTACCTCTGTAAACTGGTCTTGGAGCACAGCCTCAAGTTGCGGTAGATCGGATTTGCTCGCATAGATTACCTTGTCATCTGCATACATGTGTACATTTGAGGATTTGCAGACATTAGGCAGATCATTTATAAATAATGTAAATAGTAGGGGGCCAAAAATGGAACCCTGGGGAACACCACATGTAACTGGGAGAGGGAGGGAGTCGCTGTCAGAAATGGACACATATTGCGAGCGATCCGATACATACGATCAAAACCAGGTTAGCGAACGATCATCAATACCTGAGTTTTTGAGTTTGTGCAGTAGAATGTCGTGGTCTACTGTGTCAAAGGCCTTAGCAAAATCAAGGAAAACAGCTCCAGTTAGGGCTCCTTGTTCCATGCCAGTTTGGATGTCATTGTAAACTTTTAAGAGGGCAGTTGTAGTGGAGTGATTCTGGTGAAAGCCCGATTGATCAGGGGTCAGATAGTTAAATTGTTGGTAGTACTCACATAGTTGCGTATGGACACATTTTTCTAAGATTTTTGACAATACCGGGAGCAATGATATTGGGCGATAGTTAGAAACCAAAGTAGTGTCACCACTTTTATGGATAGGCACTACTCTCACAGTCTTCCAAAGTTTGGGTATGTATCCAGACACCAAGGATTCGTTAATTAGAGTTGAGACGGGTTTAGCAATTGCCGGTGCACTGAGCTTCAACAGCATTGCTGGGATTTGATTGTGTCCGGACTGGTTTTTCATTTTTAGATTATTAAGATGTTTTTTAATGACACTAACAGGTACAGGTCTAAAAATAAACTTGTCTATATTGGGCCTTTGCAAATTTAGTGTGACCTGATCCATATTAGTAGTTTCAGGATGCGTATCATTTATTAGCTTGGCAATCAGGGCAGTAGAGCATCCGACAAAATAATTGTTAAAGGCATTTGCTACATCTAAGGGAAGTTGCAGGGTTTGGTTACCCACTTTGACAGTGGAGGGTTGGGAGTGGATTGGGGGAGTTTGTAGTTTATTTATGACTTTCCAAAAGTTTCTAGGGTTTGAGATGTTATTGTTGAGATTTTCATGGAAATATTGAGCCTTGGCCAATTTTGTCTGTTTTGTGCATATATTTTGCCATTGTCTATATGCACAGTGATCATTCATAGAGCCAGTACGCTTAAACTTTGACCACAAAGAATCCCAAAACTGGTACATTTGGATGAGGTCAGCTGTGATCCAGTTCATATGTGCTCCTTTTACCCTCACCTTACGCAGCGGGGCATGCAAATTCCAAATTTGTAGGAGTTCAGACTGAAGGAATTCAACAGCACAGTCTAGATCTGGGATAATGTTTAATCTGTGCCATGGGAGGTTCTTGATGTCATTTAGAAAGGATTCAAGATTAAATTTTTTGAAGGACCTAGTTATTTTAACCTTGGGAGAGGATTTAGTAGCCTTTATTTTGTGCACGCAGTACACTAAGCAGTGATCACTGAAAATGTTTGGGAGAACACCGGCCTCCTGGATTCTATCAGGAGAAGTGGAGAGAATCCAATCGAGCAGGGTATGGTTATGGCTTTTAATGTTTACGTGAGTTGGGGAGGAGATTAATTGCGTTAGCTGCAACGTCTTAAACAGCGCGCAAGAACTATTATTTTTAGGATTCAGCCAATCCATACTAAAATCTCCAAAGACCAACAGTTCACTTTTTGGGTTTTGAGCTATGGTTTCACTAAGGAGATGGGCTATGTCAGAAAGGGAATGCACAGGGGAGCTAGGGGGGCGGTAGATTCCTGCAACAATGATTGGTTTACTGCACGGGATCTCAGTTGTGCCAGAAAGGAAATCAAAGGTGGCAGGAGGACTAAGGTTTTGTAAAGGGGTAAACTTTATGGAATTGTCAACATAAATGACAATGCCTCCTCCTCTCTTTGCTCTGTCATTTCTAAAACATGAATAACCCTGTATTGCGATGGCAGAGTCTGGTATTTTAGCTGTTAACCATGATTCTGAGAGCACAGTGATTTTTGGTTTGTAATGAGAACACCAAGCTTGCAGTGCACCCAGTTTAGGGAGTAAACTACGGATGTTGCAGTGCACAAAAGAGAGGCCTTTTTTAGTGGGGAGATTAGGACTAGAATTAGCTGGGGGACCACGGTTAGACTCCACATCATTTGCAAGGGCAAGTAACATAAGGAATAGGAATTTGGACATCATTTTTGTTTGGCCATTTGGTGAATGGGATACTTTATAATTTTGTGAGGTGGGAGTAGGAGGGCTATTTTTTATAACTCTCCACCAGCACTCAGCAGATAAGT